CTATTATAATAATTTCTTAGTTGGTCTATTCTCTTCTGTAAAAACCTCTTCAAGTTCTACATTTTTATTAGTATTTTATTTAAACATTTTATATATAAAAATTATTATTTTACCACCAAAATTTCATTTATAAAAAATTACAAAATTTTAAACTCAATAAAATTAAATTCAATAGAATTTCCTTCCTTTAATAATTAATACAAATATATCTCAAGGATTAATTCAAATATACTTTTATTAAATAATTCAGATCCTTATATAAATTTTATTGTTTATAATAGAAATTATAATAAATTTTTGAGATCATTATAAAATTTGTATTCCCTTTATAATACTTAAAAATTACTTATAATTATGTAAAGATATAATGAAATAGTGAATATAATTAATTAATACGAATTATATGTTAAATTTCAAATAGATATTTGATTAGCTTTGAATTTTGATTTAAAAAATTATTGTGAAATCTTTATTCGAAAATTGTATGAAATAACAAACATTTAATCATTTAGATTTTTATAAAAGTATAATTATAATGTGCTTAAAATAAAGTTGAATAATAATGATTAAATATATATAAATATTTAAAATATAATTTTGTCAAAGTATCACTTTGGTTGAATTTTATATAATAAATTTAATAAATGATTTGATTCTGAATCACATTTCTTAAAATATTGATTATCATGTTTTCTAGCTCAATTGTTAATAGATATTATATTAATTTTATATTAACAAAAACCTCTTTTTATAAATTATGTATAATATTATGCAAGTTGCATAACAAGAAGATTTGGGATTGGACATTGTGCAATTATACCCTCTTGTAAGTATTTTATAGAAAGAGAATATCGTGGTCCATTGATTAAATTTAATAAACAATATAATTTTTCACTTTTTCTTTTATACTTCCAAATTTTCAATTATTAAGGATTATACATCTGGTGAGTTAGAATATAAGACTAAAGCAAATTTGCCTTAAGGAAAATTTGATGATTACTAATATATGAATAATTATAAAACTTCTGTTATCTATAGTTTTTTAAATTCTCCTTTTCCTTTAAATTACAATTTGGTCTTTCCCACCAAAATAGGCTTTCCTTTGGAATTGACTGTTATTTCTTTAGGAAATTTATCAGCTGAAAATCTTCATTAAAGGAATAGGGTACAATTTAATGTAGACTGTATATTCTTCATTTTTTGCCAAATTGCCAGAATAATCTCTTAAGGAAATAGAAAGAGTGAAATCAGATTTACAGTATATGTTTGAAATTTCTTTTTCTAGATGAATAAATATGGTTGCTTCATCATTACTATACAATTTGTATAGGTTCTTGTTTCTAGATCTATCTTTTTATTTAAAGTTCTCTAAACAATGTTAAAAAGATTTGAGTCCCATGGAAAGGTTATGGATTTGAAGACTTTAGGATGATAGCATATCTTCAAGCATTTTGAAATTCAAATCTTTCTATTTATCGAGAAATTCTTACAATTCTTACATTAATAATCATAATGATTAAGACATTGCCTTTGTTGCTTCTACTTACGATATGTTTATCTGAAGATGCACCTGTAGCAAGATTTGCATATGGAAATATGAATTTATTACCAAGATAAAGAGCTCCCTTTTTTAGTGGTATTGCAGTCACTCCAGATTTGAAATTCGAAAAGATATCTCTCTCTGATTATTAAGGTAAGTATGTTGTATTGCTATTTTACCCATTTGATTTCACATATGTATGTCCTACAGAGTTGGTTGCCTTTTCAAATGCAATTGATTAATTTAGAGCATTAGGTGCAGAGGTATTGGGTATATCTACAGATTCTCATTTTACTCATTTGGCATGGTTGAAAACTCCAAGAAATTAAGGAGGAGTTGGTGATCTTAAGATTCCATTGTTGGCAGACATTTCAAAGAAGATATCAAAAGCATATGGTGTTTTAGTAGAAGATGAATTAGATGAATTATATGGTGCTTCATTAAGAGGATTGTTTATAATAGACAAAAAAGGTTTAGTTAGAACAATTCAAATAAATGATGCTCCAGTAGGAAGATCAGTTGATGAAACATTAAGATTGATTTAAGCATTTTAATATACAGATACTCATGGTGAAGTATGTCCTGCTAATTGGAAACCTGGACAAAGAACTATTGTTCCAGATCAAGATAAGAAAGCTGAATATTTTGCAAAAAGTGAATTATGATTATTGATATCAGGTTTAATTTATTCAATAAACCCTTTATAATTGCAATTAAATTTATTAAATTTTGCAATCATCAATTATTCATCATCCCTTCTTGATATTGGATTTTTAACAATCTTAAATTTATTAAAAGTATATCCTTTGTAGAAATACCTATCCAAATAATAAATATTTCCTATTCTCTCAAATATCATATATCCTATTATATTTGTTTTTTATATCAATAGCTATCGATCATTAAAATAAGTAAGAATATTAACAAAAGTTTCAGTCATAAATTATCTTATTCTTATTAAGAACATTTTTAGTTTGCTGGAATTCACAATGTTCATTTCAAATGATGAATTTTTGAATATTATAAAAAAATAATAATCCAATCTCTTCAGCACTTTAAGTCTGTATTCATCTAATTATCATAGTATCCTATTTATTAATTAGTGTAATAATGCTTATAAATGTTTCAACTTTTTGATGTTATTGATATTAAAATAAAATATTAATATAATTGTTTAAGATATTATCCTATTATGATTAAGGTATTTGAGTAATTTAAACAAAAATAGAGAGAAATTATTTCATCTTCTGTTATTTCTTAAATAAATTATAATCAATCATCTAATGATCTCTATTTATATATTGTGAAATAACTCATTCAATTTTAAATGATTTTATAATAATTTACTAAAGTCTTATTGGGTTTCTATTCAACTCATACTTAAATTTGTTAAAAAAATTAATAAAATCAATTTAAAATATATTCTCCAGATTTGGCTAAATTCTTTTTATTCCAAGTATTAACTATGATTTCAGGTTCTTCATTTGGAATTTCAGCCATCTTAAACTATTAACCTGCTTCCCTATTTAACATCTTTTATTCTCTATCCTTTTAACTTTCTCCTGCTAAAAATAGAAAATTTTTGCTATCCACAAATTTTTTCTTAGATTTGTCCTATAGTTTTTGATTATATAATTTCATAAGTTTATTGGTATATAATCTTGTTTTTGGAGACTAAGCTACATCATCTTCATTAATTTCTAGAATAAATAAAATCTAATTTACTTTTTTCTGAAATAACAGTCTAAACTTATTTAAATGGATTATCAATCAATTTTGTATTAAAATTGGCTTAAATATCAGACAACACAAATTACTATTATTGACCAAGTCTCTCTGCATCAAAATCTGATAAAAATCGATTCACTAATCTATTTTCAAACTACTAACAGCTTTTTGATTTATTTGATTAAGTAAGTAAAGAAAATTAGGGTCTATTATCTTTGTGATCATACCATCTTAATTTTAGATACCAATATCTACTACTATTCTTTTCCTCTTCACCTTTATTAAGTTCAATTGCTTAAATCTTTTAGTTTCTTTCTCTATATTGATCTGCCCTACTCATAATTGTTTATTCTGGTTCCCTTTAACAATTAGAAGCTATCTGTATATTAACATTATCCCATTGAGTCTTAGTACTTTCAAACTTTTTCATAGCTCTTTCTTCCCTTGAAATAGCATTTCTTAAATGAAATGGTAATTTTGCTTCTACCTTCTCCTATTCTATTTATGCCTCTTATATGTGTTTTTCAGCTTCTCTAACTATGTTATTCAAATCTCTTTTGCTTAAGTAAAGTTAATCTACTTTATTTTTTTTTGGAGTTTTCCTTACTTATTATTTATCTAGAATAATTGATTAAGCTTATTGATTAGTTCTTGTTGGAGGTTATTCATCAAATAAAGAATCATCTGTAGTCATTTGATTTTGATTTTATTAATTTTTCTTTAATCTCTAATATTATCTTTATTTTTCTTAATGAATTTTAAGAAACTAATTATATCCAACAACTGAATATTTGATTACTTTATCCTATTTATCACTTTCAAATTATGGACCTCCTGTATAATCTATATACTTTTTTCGCTCTTCATTATTTGCCTCTACTATTCACGTATTAATTTACCCTCAAAAATATTCATTGTTGATTATGTTAAAGCAAATGTATCAACACCTTATTTCATTACTCTTTTACAATTATTCTGTTATTATATTTACTCTTGATTTTAAATAAATTATTTAGTCTTATCTCCTAATCCATATTATGTCTAATAAAAGTTGCCAGTTTCATTAGATCTAAAAGTAGTTGTTTTTGTTGAGTTATGAATTTAATCCAACATTAAGTCACTTCTACTTGCTCCCTTTGATTAAAATAGAATGGGTTATGAAACTAACAAGGTTTTTTTATTTTTTTCTGATTTAACAGGATTGATAGGTATTAACATTTATATATATATAATTATATAATTCAAGTTTTTAATTTCAATATTTTCTCTAATATTGAATTTTATTCATCTATGGAGGTTTCTTTCTTAAATTGATCCCAAAGTTCCATCCAATGTGTTTATTGATTTATTCCCATAAACACAGGAATTTCTACTTTTTTCACTTCATTAAAACTCTTTTTTCTTTAGTGTTATTATTAATAGCTACAATTTTTTCTATCTTCCTTTGAAACATAGACAGGCTTTAACTACTATTAAATAATAATGTTTAATTTCCCATATTAATGAATAGAAGGTTCTGACATACTTTTAATTTACAGCTAAATTCAAGTTTAAAAAATTTATACAATTTTACATTCAAGAATTTAAGATAATAACATAAAATTTAATTAATGTAGAATAGTGAATATTTTACATGTAATTAACTCTTTTTATAACTTATATATCAAATATTATATGTGAAAGAATTAATTAAATCCATTTTAATAGTTTATCATTATTAAAATTTAATTAAATGAAGAAAACTATCTATAGAACAGACCAAGAATATTTAAAAATAAAACGTAAAATTTTCTAAGACTAATTGAATTAAATTCTAATTGAAATAGATAAATATTATCATATTGTATTATCAGCAAAATAATTTGTAATACGATACTTTCAATATCTAATTGAATTTAATGAAAGACAATAAAGAGGTGATGAAACTGAATTTTTTTATGAAATGGGTGATTATTTTAAAGGATTCAACATAAAACATTTTTTTCCTAAAAAAATTTGGTAATTTAATGTTTCAAGTATTTATTGATTTTTTATATATTAAGAGACTTTTCTCAATAGTCTATATAATGTTTCAGAATTAGATATCATTCATATTTTCATATAAATAAATTTAGTATTATAAGGAAAATTTAACAGTTCAACAAGATCAGTTTTAAAAGTCTTACCTTATGAAGGAGGGAATGTCAAATTTCCTTTTGAATATGATTATATCATAGGATTCAATTACCGCATTTACATACAAACAGTTATCTAAATTATTCCTAAATTATATCCAATTTTAAATAAAGATGGAAATCCTACACATTTTGAATTCTGTCATGAAATAATTTTGGTTGGATTAGTATCTGAGAATTAAAAGAATTCTAAGGTTTATTATGAAATAGAGAAATATTTTAGAAATTAATAAACATCACCTAATTTTTTTGCAAATATGAAATTAATTAAAGAAGATAAAAATGATTCATAATTATATTAAGGGATAAAAATTGGAGAAAATCCTAAATCTTTGTAAGATAGATTATTTCCAAGAAAATTTCAACCAATATTGTTAGATGGTTAAGATTATGTATATGATGAAACATTTAAAAGATGGATTCCAGTTTAAACATAAATAATTTTAAATAACAAAATAGCTAGAATGAATGCTTTTTCTGCTAATCATTATTTAATTTAAAAATATAGTTAATAACCATCTGCATTCTAATTATTTAAAATAATATAAAATATTCCTAATTTCAAAGTTAATTTAACTAAGGAATAATAAGAGATTATTTCATTTAATGGAGATGGATTAGTAATTGGTAGAAGTGGTACAGGTAAAACTACTTGTGCCTTACTTAGACTCTTCACAACAGATATTCTATTTAAAATTAGAAGTAAATTAGATTAAATTAATTGTTCAACAAATGATATATAACTCAATTAATAATAATAGGATTGTGTATTAAAGACTGTCTTTGTTACAGCCAGTCCTTTATTGGCATGTTAAGTTAAAAGATCATATGATAAATTAGTTTCAAATATATAAGATGTCATTAATAAGAAAAAAAATAAGGAAAAACATTAAGATGATATTCATGTGAAAGATGATTAAGATGAGATGGATCAGAGCACAATTCAAATTATAGATGCAATAAAAAATGATTAAGAGTAATAAGAATAACAACAATAAGGTTAAGAAGATGATGTTGATGATTAAGATATTGATGAATATGAAAAAGAAATGGGAAAATTTTAAAGATTTTCTGATTTAAATCAATTTCCAATATTTTTAACTTTGAGAAAATTTTTATTTCTTATTGATTCATCATTAATCAATTCTTTTTTTGCTATTTTTGAAAATAAATAGAATAGAAGTTCTTAATGGCATAATGAGTAATTTGGATAGTTGACATTATCTCAAAATAATGAAAATATGTAAAGGAAATTAGAATAGTTTAATTAAAAATTGATGGATGAAATTGATAATTCTGATTATATTTAAACAAATATGCATGAAGTTACATAAGATGTATTTGTTAGAGTATTTTGGCCAAAAATAGTAGTGACAATTAAATCATAATTTTAAATGCCTAAATGTTTTGATCCAATATATGTTTGGTCAGAGATTTGCACAAAAATTAAAGGTCATGAAACATCACATAAATATCCTGATAGATTTATGAATTTTGATAATTACTAATATTTAAGTGAATTAAATTAAGATGAATGTAGTTTTATTTATGAAGCTTTTTAAATTTATGAATAATATAAATATTAATTAGGATATTATGATTTATTAGATGTAGTAAATCATATTAATTAAGAATTAGCTAATGGTAATGATTTCATTGAAAAAATTCATTATCTATTACTTGATGAATTATAGGATGTACCAAGAGCAGTATTAATATTATTAGATTAATTAACAGAACTTGGATTATTTTGTTGTGGAGATAATGCTTAAAATATAGCAAAAGGGATAAGTTAAAAATTTTGTGAAATTTAAAATTGTTTATTGTTATATAGAAATAATAAGAAAAAAATACATAGAAATCTTAAAATATTTGATTTAAGTATTAATTTTAGATCTCATAATAAAATATTATAATTAGCTAATTCTGTTATTAGAATGATAGAAATTTTATTTCCATAAAAAATAGATAAATTAAAAAAAGAAACATCAAATTTATAAGGTCCTAAACCTATTTTAATTAAAAGTGATAATGTTAAATAATTGTTAAATAATCTTTGTGATTTCTTTTCAAATGATAAAAATACTGTTGAATTTGGTTGCAATTAAGTCATAATTGTCAAAGATCAAGAATCTAAGACAAGATTACCTATTGAATTATAAAATATCTTATGTTTAACCATATATGAAGCTAAAGGTTTAGAATTTGATGATGTCATATTATTCAATTTTTTCCATGATTCAACTGCATCTATTGAAGATTGGGAATCTCTTAATATTTTAGAACCTTAAGCAGAATATTTAAAGAAGGCTGATTATGATAAATATATAACAAGTATTAATATTATTAATAAATAGTTCATTATACAGATGTAATAGCTTCCACTGAAGAGATTAAGAATGAATTAATAGAAGTTTGGTAATTGAAAATGAAAAGTAACAAAGAAAATAAAGAAATTTCAATAGATTTATGTTAAGAATTAAAGTAATTGTATGTAGCAATTACAAGACCTAAATAAAAATTAATTATTTTTGATTAATCTTTAGAAAAGAGAAGAAATATTTAAAATATTTGGATTAAATTAGATGCAATCCAAATTATAGATTAAATAATTCAAATAAACGATGTTATATTTTAATTATAATTATAAAATAATAATAAAGAGAATTGGAAAAGACAAGGCTTTAAAATGTTTAGAATGAATAATTATGATTAAGCAGCAAAATGTTTTAAATTTGCTGAAGAATAACAATTAGAAAAGAAATCTATTGCTTATAATATTTTAGTCAGTAATGCACATATAACTAATAGTCTATAACAATATTAATAAGCTGCTATTATTTTTGAAGAAATTGGTTTATTATCAAGAGCTGCTTAATGTTATTTCACTGGTAAATAATTTTAGAAAGCATAAGAAATATATGAAAAATTAGGAAAAATGAATGAGATGGCAGAATCAGCATTTTTTGCCCTTAATTACACAAAAGCAGCATAGACTTTTGAGATATTAGGTGATATCAGAAGAGCTATTGATTGTTATAGTTTAAATAAGGATTGGGACAATGTTATTATATTATTAAATAAGTACAAAAATCAATTCAATCAGCAAGAGAGGATGGCATTTTTAAATTAATTTTTTCCTAATTATTTATAAAATCTAGCATAAGAAATACAGGATATAAATATATAATAAATTGAAAATAGTTAAATAGTATATGATATTTAAGAAATTAATAAAGAAGAGTAATCAATTTTGAATTAGTCTGAAAGTTTTACAATTTAGAATTCAATACTTAATTAAGAGGATTCTTAATTAGTAAATGATTAAATTATTAATTAATATGAATCTAGTTTAGAGATATTAAATAATAAAGAAAATGAATAATCATAATCATTTTAGATAGAAAATGAGAATGAATAAAATGTGGATCATTTATTTATTTTTGATCCTGATGATGAATGGTTAATATAAGATTAAAAATCATTGATTTAATCAATGTCATCTAAGATTAGTCATCAATCAGAATTTTCAAATATTGTACTACTAAATCAATCATCATAAAAATCCCTTTTAAAATCTAAAAACAATATTTTTATATCTAATAATGTGTTATAACAATTAATTCAGAAATCATTATTGTTCTCTGATGAATTTAGGAATCACTTAGATTCACAAAAATACAAAGCTGTTTAATTATCAAATAGAAAAGATAATGATAAGGAGTTTGATCATATGATCAATTTTTTTTATGATTTGGAAAACATAGATATTGATTCAATTTATATGATTTTGGATATTTTGGAATAATTCAAAAGTTACAAATTATGCATTTATTTATGCAATTACTTTAAATTATCATCTTATTTAGGTAGATATCTAGTTTCTTTAGTATCTGCTTATTCTCCATTAACGAAGAATAATGCATCAGTAGATATTTAAATGATTACTATGGGATCTTATAGAAGAACTCTACTTGAATAATCAACTTTATCTTAAATTGTATTTAATAATATAATAGAAACTATTAATCCTATTTTCTTAATATTTAAAAATGAAGAGGATTTAAATCTTAGCAATAGTTTAGGATTGAATTGTTATTAAGAATTAATTGGATTAGGTTTTTGGAAAACATTAATATACTAATTAAACTTTAAACATTCCATAGATTTGTGTATGTCTTTTAACAATTTTTCAGATGTTATTGAAATATTTAAGAAAATAAAATTAAATAAATAATCAGATTAAGAATAATTTAGATTTAAAAAAATCTAATATTATTAATATATTAAATTAATTTAAGGTTAGTAGTAAAATGCAGTAGATTTTGTAAATGCACTTGATAAAGAATTTTAGATTACAAAGAATTATTACATGAAAAAATAATAAGAAATAGATGAAGTTGATCTTGATTAATTAATAATTAATGCAAATATTTATAAGAAAAATTTGACTTTTAATGAACAACTTAAATAAATAGAAGCAATAATATTAAGTTTTGATATTCTTTAATCTATAAACAATTTCTCATATGAAAAACTTATAGGATTATTTTAAATATAAGAATATTTTCATAATTAATTGATTTCCTATAAAAATTCAGGGTATATTAATGAAGCTTTATTATTTTGTTATGGTATCTCAATTCCTTAAGGTGATATCATGAGTCATTATTCTCATTCTTTACTCCTACACATATCATCCAAATTAATAAAAAAAATTGTAAAAGAAACTCAAAATATGGAAAATACTCAAAAATTAAAACATTCCTTATTATTTATGGATATTGGATATGAGTATATTTGCATACCATTTGAGTAAGTTATTGAATAAATTAAAAATACTTTTTTTTTGAAGATTTAATAAATTTTAAACTATTAATCACAAAAACTAATGGATTTTTATCAAATCAATGATGATGAGTCTTTTTCAGTGAGTTCTCAAGAAGATTGGGAAGATATAATTGCAGAACTGTTAGTATTCTTAATGCTTGAATAATCTTATAAAAAGTTTTAAAGTAAGATTTCTTAGAAAAAAGAGGAATCAAAAAAGTTTCATCCTCTTTCAATTTATTATTCAAAATAAATTGAATTATAAGAATACTCAATATTAGATACTGAAGTATCTTAGACTTTAAAATTATTATAAAGAATTATATTGAAAAATAATTAAAGAATAGGTAACACTCCTAATTATATCAAATATTTAATTCGTGAGATTTCTTTAAATTTGATTATGCAGATTTCTTAGAAGTAAAATAATTACCATTCAAATATGATAATGGCAATTAATATTTTAAATTTGACTGATTAATTATCTTTTGCTGTTTTAATACTTTAAAATTAGGATAAATATGCCCCATATCTTAAATATATTGAATTTCTTGAATGTTAGCATTTTGGAATTATTGAGGATTCTATAGGATGTTTTTTAGATTATAGTTAATATGTAATGGACAGATTTTATTTGGATGAATAATTATGCCATGTAATTAGGATAGGTTTAAATATTTTAGTTTCAATTTTGTGTTACTGTTAATAGAAATTAACAATAGTTAAAGTCTATAAAGAATATTTAAATAAGATTGAAAATGTTAATGAAAAATATTGTAAATTAGAGACAGGAGTATTTTAATTAAATAATTAATAATTACTATTAGAATATTTAGATTTTCTATTTGAATTTTATTAATTTTGTTGTTCAAAGTATTACTAGGATTAAATCTAATAGTTTTTATTAATATTTGCAATAAATCTTTTAAATACTCAATAAGTTAAGGTTATAAAAAGTTTTATTGAATATCTAAAATAATGTTAAAAACTAATAACGTTATAAAAATTACAAGATATTTTGATTAAAGAAATATCAAATAATAAAAAGGAAGTTTAAAAAAAAATAAATATATTGATCTCTCTTTCAAGTTATTTAGATGAGGATATCATTGAAGTAGAAATTATAAATATAAAATCTAAGTAATAGTTAGAGGAATATTATGATAAATGTATTGAAGTATGGAATAATTATTAAATTGATAAAGAAGGTAAGATAAATAGTATGAGAAAGTTGATTAAGAAATGGAAAGGGTTTAGAAAGGATCATAAAATAAATCTGACCGAATAAATAAAGTAAAATCTACAATTTGTGAGAAGTCTATAGTATTTTAATATAGGATAAAAAGAATATATAAGTTTAACATTAAGAGATTTAAATAGATATATGAAAAATAATATTTCTAATTTTAATGAAGATTTGAAATTAGGTGTATCTTTATAAAGGTAATAATATATTAAATATAAATATAGATAACTATTAAATGCAAGGTAAAACTTTAATAATTCATTTGATATTCATTTAATAAATTCTTTTTTGAATGAATTGGGAGAATATATGAAATAATTGTTAAAGGGAGAAGATGTGCATAAAAAGATAAAATAATTAGATAGTGATTTAAAAAATTGGGAATAGAATGATTAAGAAAAATAGATTGATAAATAAATGTTAGAGTTGAATAAATAATTAATAATTGAGAAGTGGAAGAATTTAAGAGCTGGAATAAAAGTATAAAAAAAATAATTAAATTAAACTAAATAGAAGGAATAATTAATATCAATATAAGAAGTTGTTGAAGAATGTTAATAATGATTTAAAGGGGATTGATATTTAAGAAAGAGAATATAAATATTTATATAAATATATATATTTAAATAATGTTTCTTGGTCTATTGTGTATTACATATTCTGTTTTAGCAAATTAACCAATACAGATTGGGGAGACTATTAACAAGTAATTTGATTAAAAATATGTTATTTTAGTGCTATAATGCCATGGCATGGAAATGCTAAATATGAATTATATTAGTTTGAGTTGAAGGAGGTGAAATAGGATTCAGATTTGGTGGTTGTTGTAAAATAATAATCTGCTTTGGGAAATCCAGATATTTATATATCAACAAAAGTAACAGAGCCTAATGAGAATACAGCTGAGTAAATATGTGACTCAATTGGCATGGGTATAATATTTTGTGATTGATAGATATTTGTGTGATTGAAAAACCTTAAAAAGGTCCATATTATTTAGCAGTGTATTGTGATGGATATTGTAGATATTCTTTGAAAGTAGTTTATCAATCAGAATTATTGATGACGAATTGTAAATATCCTAATCTTCATTATTTTAGCTGATGACTTAGAATTCAAATATGATAAGACTACATGGACTGATGTTATCAGAATTGAAACAAAGAACTTGACTTGGGAAGAAACTCAGTTAAAACCAACTTTAGAGATTTAAGTAAGAGTGAAAAATATGGAAATATTATAAGAATCCTTTAAATCATATTTAAATATAGGTGAAACAAAGCCAACACCATAACATTCTGATTTTATTGGATAAGATACATTTTCAGGCATGCAAAAGTTCAAGATTCATAATTTAGAAGCAAACAGCAAATTCACATTACTTGTAGAAGGTTAAGAAGGAGCTATAATTTAAGTTCAAACAAGAACTTATCTAACTATTCGTTATTTACAATTAGGAGATAGAGTTGAAGATATAGTGGCTGAGGATGATTATTAATTTTATTGCATTGATCTTTCATAAGATTATGAATCCATATAACTTGGTCAAACTGTCTTAAATATTTAATTACTTCCTTATAAAGGCTATACTGAAATGTATGTTAATTTAGATTTTCAACCACCATTCTTAGATTAATATTATTGGTAATTAAAGGACAGGATTACTGATGATCTTGTAATTTCTAAAGCAGATTTAGATAAATTAAAAGCAAAAGGAAATTATGTATTTGTTGCAGTAAGAGGAAAGGAATCTAATGCAACATATGAATTGAAATCTTAAATGATAGATCCTAATTTCATGCTTCTAGAACTCAATAAACCTACAACTGCTAAATTATCAAAGAATAGTTAAATAGCATATAAATTTTATATAAGATATACTGAAAAATAATCTGTTAGTGTGAGTTTAAAGAATATATAAGGAGATGCTGATATTATTGTAAAATAATGTGAGAATTTATGGAATTGTAATATCTAATAAGATGAAATTCTAAATAAAGAATAAAAAGTAGTCACTGAACCAGGAAAATTATTTTTATATTCAGATAAGTAATTAATAAATTTGATATTCATAGTCCTGGTAATGATGTTATTGTATTTGATAATGATCCAAAAATTTGTTCATAATATGATAACACATTTTAATGTTATTATGATGTTTTAATATATCCTGGATCAAAAAATGATGTTGATGAATTGATTTATTCAATTCTTATAACTACAAAAGGAGAATCAATAATTTTGAGAGAAAATACTCCAATGAAGTAATATGTAGGATTAGGATTAAATAATTATTATAAATTCATAGTTGAAGAATAAGATGAAATTAGAAGATTGATGATTTAGGTTACACCCATATAAGGACAACCTAAAATATTTGCATCTAAAACTAACAAGAATCCTACTCAAAATGATTAATAAGCTGTATAAAATGTTATCACTTATGGATAATTTGGTTAATCAAATGACTAAGAACCTATACGTGGTACCTATTATATAGCTGTAAATGGTTATACAGCATGTCAATATATTATTACAGTTTATGTATTTAGAAATAGAGGAGATTGGAGATAAATAGGCAAATATCCTCATTAATATATATTATTATTAGATGGTTATCCATAAGAGATTACATCTTAAAATAATAGTGATGTTTAGTTATTTAAGATTGATTTGAGTGCTTATTATAATCCTGATTAATAAATTCATTATGGTGTTGATGTTAAACTCAGAGTTATTTAAGGAAGTTTTCTTATGTATGGATTTGATCATCCTGAAGTTGATAAAAATAAAGCATTCTTGACTGGCAGTGATTTCTTATCCATTAATCCAAGAAGCAAAATCTATCCTTAATATTTGTATATTAGAGTAGAACCAAATCCAGTAATATCAACTAATCAATTATCATATTAAATCTATTATCGTATTAACAATCAACCAATTGAATTGATTATAGGTGATAATTATAGAGGTTATATATCTTAAGATGAAACATAAACATTCTTACTTAATTATTTTACAAGAGATGAATTAGTGATAACAAAGAATGTTGAATATATGGATTAATCTGTTTTAAAAGCATAAATTTATTATGGTAATTTAGTACAAGAGATGAAAGCTTCTAGTATGTTATTAAGAAGTGAAGACTTAAACTTTGAGAAATGTAAAACAAATGCTACTGAAATTATTAAATGTTAAATAACAATTATGGTAACTGCTACAGTAGATACATATTTCTCATTATTAATTACAAAAGAAGCCTCTATTGTTTTCTTATATGATGGTGAACCAGTTACTAAACCATTATAAAATAAAGCAGATCATTATTTATTTTATTTAACTGATTAAGAAACAGAAATATCTGTATTTTCAATCTCAGGTGAACTCAAAATATTATTATAAATCTTTAATTCATAACCTAAATTAGAATAATTTCCAACTAATAATTTAGATTCTAAATTGTAATCCTTAGATGATTCAAATGATATTGGTAGTTCAATCTTCATATCTGATGAATTTCTAGAGATTAATGATTGTAAATAGAATGGATGTTATATGGCTGTTACTTGTATAAAAGATCCAAAATATGATCCAAAAGGATAATATGTTATAACTAGATCATCAAGTTATACAATCTTATATCCATCTATTATCTATTATGGTGAGGCTGAAAATTAAAAAATTAAATATTTCAAAATATTCAATGTATCATTAGCCTCTGGACTCATGATAGTAGTTTCTCCCTTAAGTTCAGGTAGCTTAATAGTTTTAGCTAGTAGAAATGAAATGCCTACTTTAGATACTCATTAATTCAGTTCTAATACAATGTTAGGAGATTAATTAATTATACCTCCAAAAGAAAATACATTAGATGCAGTTAATTATTAGTAAAATTAATTAACTATTATTATAGTGTTGGTGTTTATGCATTTGATAATGTAAAGTTTTCAATTTAAATAAATATTGGAAATCTTCATTTTTATCAAATCAAAAAAGGAATACCTATGAACTTTTTTGCAGAATACAATTCAGTTACCTATCTTAATTATTATCATGCATAAGATTCTGAATTTACTATATTATTTAGTTCTAATCTTGTTACATAATATAATAGAGCAAATGTTCATGTGTATACCTATAAAGATATGACTATGTAAGCAGATGCCATTCTAAAAGTTAAAGATGAGTAATTTATTTGATTATATTTTATAGACCTATGTGGAAAATGATTGATTTCTTTTTAACTATTAAAAAGGATATAAAATACTGTTCATCTTGTTATTATTTAATTAGCGTTGAAAATTTCAATGTAGACAATGATATCTCAATTACTATTTCTTTAGATAATGAATCAACTTAACTATTAGATAATGTTGAAATTACAAATCAAATCTCATCTAATTAACCTCACTATTATCACTATGTAGTCGAAGATGATTTTTATTTGAATGCAACTCTCTATGATGGAGATATTAAAATATATGGAGGATTCTTCAAAACTTTATAAGATATAGATAATCTCTTACTTACTTTAGATGTTAATGAAGGTCTTACTGATAAAGATGGCAAAGTAATTGGATACTCTTATGCTGAAGGGTAATTGCCTAATAAAACTATTGAAATTAATAAAGATAATTCTGGTGAACATAAATATCTTTATAGATTCAAAATCATATCAAAATCTAAAGGTACTTATAAGATTGAATGTATTTAAAAATAATAAGCAATTGAACTTAAACTTGGAGAACCTCAAAGTCATTAATTGAATTCTACTCATACTGTACCATTCTATTTTGTAATTCCTGACAGATCCTATGAAAATTCAAATGAAGGATTTTATACATTAGATATTGAAACTTATGGTCATTCATAATCAAGAATAAGTGAGAAGACTTAACATCCTAATATAAAATTAACCTAAGATCTCTATAATAATCCAAATTTCTTAAGTGATTATCACAATTTATAAGATGTTCAATTCATTAGACACAATCAAACAGATTAAATAATGCATTTTGAATTTCCTAGTACTCCTGGACTATATTTCTTATAAATAAGTCCCAGAGAACCTTCAAATTTACCATATACTGTTACCTTAGGTAATGATTTTTTGAATGTTTTGGCACCAAAACTATAAAGATTTGCATCTAATAAGATTGGATAATAAAGATTTTGGGAAATAAATTTACATTAACCTTCAAAAATTCTTATTCAAGCCTAATTATGTGGTGGAATTATAAGTGTATATGGAAGTGAAAATCTTGAGAATTTATAAAGAGGATCATATTCATAAAAAATGGATTATAAACATAATAAATAAATAATTGGAACTATACCTATTTAAAATGCAGGTCCTTATTATTTAAGTACTAAAGCTATTAAGAGTATTATTCCTTAAAAAGATTATGTGGATTATATTCTAAAAGTGAATATTCTTTAACCTAGTAGTGTAGTACCACATGAACATTTTGAACCTGGAGATGGAGGTGAATTTACAGCACATTATGATGGCGAAAATATTAGTGTATTTTTTAGTCCAATTTAAGTAACAGAATAATCTAGTTCTGAGTATAAAATCTAGAGTTTCTCATACAATTTTATTTACAAGTTATATAATTAAACAGATGAGGAAATTCCAATTTATCATTGTGATTCATCAATAAGCTTTCCTTCAATATCATTGAATAAAGAACCTCATTAATAAAAATAAGAATTAAGTCATTAATTTTATGTTGGTAAAAATTTTGAGAAAATATCTTTAAGTATTTTAGCTAAAGGTAAATATATTAATAAATAATTATTTAGTCAGAATAAATACAAATAATTTTGAAGAAGTAAGACTTTATTATTATTATGATACACTTACAATGAAAGTGGATAATATTATATTAAGATCAAATCCAAAAGTTTATAGAAGAGGAATAATATTTGGAATTATCACAGTTCTATTATTAGCAATTTTATATTTATTTATAAGAAACAGACGATTAAAATAAATGTATTTATATTATATATAATTTAGAATAAAATTTGAATCTTCTGAATAAGGAATTCAACAATTAGTAAGATAAGAGTAATCAATTGAAATGAATTATGCAAACTTACGTTGATAAATGTGATATATATATAATAATGAATTGTTAAATTTATTCATTCTGTTTATCTAGAACTTCCTATAATAATTTTAAGCTTAATATTAGGTTTATATTAATAAACTTCTAATGCATTATTAATCAAAGTTCTCTTGTTTAATAAGTGTGATTATAAATATTGTATTTAGTAGTAAATTTTAAATAAGATTCTACACACTATAATAAGCGAAGAGAAGATTGATTATATTTTTATTATTTTCTCTTTATAAATTGAAATTAATGAGCCTTAGAGACTTCAACTATATTACGTTATCTGCATGCAAGTTTTGGGAAAATTAACTAAAAACTCCAAAAAAAGAAGAGGAATCTACAGTATGCAGTGTATAAAACCCACCTTAATCATCTATACTGGAAGTTTCAGCATAGAAGTGTGAGGAATACTTATTTGGTTGTGAAGAGAAAATTTAGTCTGTTGCTGAATCGATAGATGGTGATGAATAATAGATTGAAAAAGATAGATATCTAAAGGAGGATAGTTTCTCATAGATGTCTGAGAAAGAGTGTCGAAAAGAGAGTAGGAAGTGTAAATCAACTTCCACAAAGAAGAAAGGTTAGTTTTAAGTTTAATTGAAGGAAAGAAGAGGTTTTCAATTCAATAGAATCACCTTATTATGGAAAATATAAGGAAAGGTTCTAATTTTAATGAGATTGCACAGTAGATTCCAGGAAGCACTGTAAGTTCAATCAAAAGGTAGTTCATAAAAAAGCTTAGAGTTATAAATGAAGAGTCTGAAGATGGAGATATAGTAAATACAATGATTCGGATACAAAGGTTATTAGAGTAAATGAATTTACTAAATATAGAGACCAGAGTATAGAGAGAGATCAAAAAATAAGAGAACTTAAGATACTGATTTCAAATATAGAGAATCATTTACACATAACAAAGCAATTAATTCTAAAGAAATACTTAACCTTATTTCAATAAGAGTGATGATCTTTCATACATTTCCAAAAATTTCTAAAAAACTAAAACTAATTTATTCAAACAAAAGACTCAGATATTTAAGAGTCTTTATTAAAATTATATATTTCTTCTTCATTACTTTTCTCAATCTTTTAATAAGGTAATTTATTATATTTTATCCCAATTTTTCTAATTCTAATTATCGTTTATAATAGACTCTCTAGTATTTAGAATAATATTTACTAACTTTATAATTTATTCATTCAGATTAATAAGTTATTCTTATCAAATTCAACATAAAATTACTTCAATTTTTAATTTATTTCTCTATTTTTAATAAGAATTTCATAATTATTTAATTGATCTTATGTTTAATTTATTCATTACTGCAACTTTATTTGTAGTACTCAAACTTGAATTTTGCTTTTCATCTAAATTGATAAATATTTTGGATTTGTCATCATAGATATCAGGAGTCAGTAGGCTCTTATAAATTAAACTATTCCAACTTTTTGTTTATACTTCAGAAACTGATTTGTTAATTTAATCTTCTTGAAGTAACTCAATTAAAAAAATATAACTTTTTAAGATTATTAATTGGTGAATTTGATATTCTTTGGCAGATATGGACCATTATTTTACAAAGATTGAGGATCTAAGTTTAATTTACATTATTGGATATAAATAATCTTATTAATTATTATATTTTATTATGATTCCTTTATACTCTAATTTTTCTCAACATATACTAAATTTTAGTAATTAGAGAATATTTATTATAATATATTACTACATAACGAATATTTATCTATTAAATTTAGAGGATTGGAAGTTAATTGCAATAAAGTAGTTAAACATTGTTATTTTAATTAAATCAAGTATTCCTAAGTTTCCGGATTTTTTGTAATTTGAATACTATGTCTTCCAATCCCAATTATTTGGGTAGCTCTTACACTCTATCAGATTGTAATGAAAGATTTCGGACTCTCAAATGTTAGTTAGCTTATGATTTGAAAAGTTAATCATAAGCTTTGTGATCAAATTTAGTTAATGGAGCAACTAACAATGGATCAAGTCTTCGATATAGTGCTGTACGTTTTCTTTCTAAAAATAAGCTTGGAGGTTAATAAATAGTTTATTTCCACTTCTCCATATTAATAATAATAATTCATATAAACATATATACATATATATAATAATTAATTATTTTATTTGAATTTTGAAATGAAGAAATAAAATACTATATTTTTATTAATAATCAATTAAGATCAATAATAATTATTTATAGAATATGTATATTTACTTATTGAATGTTAATATATATATTTATTTTAAATCTAAAAGAATTGGATTATAAAGATTCTTAAAAACTATTAATATATATTGAAATCAATCAAATATTTTAATGAGCACTTTTATTTCTTGTTATATTTCTTCTATGTCTTCTATGTCTCAATCTAACTAGTTCTTCTTCTTCCTCTTCACATATTTCTTAAACTTATAAGAATTATGGAGATTAGATTTCTAATTTTTATTCTTAATCTAATTCTCTAATTTCATCAAAATGAAATGAATAATTAAGCTATAATATAAATTCATCATACATTTGGATCACTTTTTTGATTACAAGATGTACTTCTAATCATACTGCTTTTACGAGAGGCTGGTTTTCGAATAGAATTGCGTATTTTCAGTACATTAGTAGGTGATATGAAACCAGGTGTTTTGGTGCCGTCATCTTAAAAAGAGTCAGTAAGAGGATCGAAGCAAGGCGAACTTTCAAAGTAATCTTATTTATCCCACATCTCTTTAAGAACCTAAGTAAATCGAGTAAATTCATCTTCTTTAGGTTACTAAGTAGATATCTAACCATAAAATTCAATCAATTGTTTTTTTGATTAAAGACTTGGATTGATGAGATTATGTTTTTCTTTGACATAATAGAATGCTTTTTCGTATTTCCAACCTCGACTAATGAGATAAGCAATTACAATAGTTGGTGCTCCTTACAACCCGTTATTACACACTACAAGTATTGATGATAATTTCAATCCATTCTAGATCAATTCACAAATATTTTAAAGTTGTTATGTAGATTTATCATCTTGTAAAAACACTTACTATTTACTAAGATAAATTAATTACATAGTATCGTGCAAAATCAGTGTAATGTTTTGAAGGACTCTTGTCTACACAAATAATAGTCCTTAAATTTCTAGATCGAAGAAGATTCAATTATTCAGCTTAATGGATATTTGACATGTATAAGGAATGAAATTTATCGCTGATTATGTGATAAACCTAAGCTGAATTCATTTTGATAATAATAAATTATGAACATTAATAACTAGTTACTTAAGATTGTTCAAGATGTTATAATTATTAACTATCTATAGATTCAATTAACAATTAAGAGTGATTTTGATCTCAAACCTAATCTTGATGAATTGATTATAATATTAAGAGAATAAGTGACAATTCTGATTGAATTAGTACAACAACAAAAGAGTCTTGATTATGATTAATTAGAGAAAGCAGTTCAGAAGGCAGAAGCTGAAATTAGAAACCATATTCGAGTAATTAACCAATACATACTATTTTAGGTCGAATAGTAAATGAAATTATATTCAGATAGTCTTTAAGACAAGATAGATTAATTAGAAATGGAAAAATAAGAATTACTTGATAAAGTATTAAATAATCATTCTAAAGTATAAGAATAAAACACTTCTTTAAAGTCAAGAACGAAAGATCTCTTCATAAAATGGCACTAGAGAATCAAGTCCTAGTTTATTTAAGAAATCTTACATTTTAGGCAATTAGGTTTATAATAGATAATAGGGAACTTCACAAGACAACTATGTTTCAGTCATTTAAAATTGTAATAGTCATTAGACAAGAGAAAAACGAAGTTCTGGTACCTAACATTCATATATAATGATGAAAAATATGTATGAGATCATCTATATCCTTTTAGTCGTCAAAAAATCAATATGAATTCATCATAAGAAAAAATAACTGATAAAAGTTCTACTCTTCTTAAATCTTAAAATGGCTCCTCACTTATTAAGATGTATAATATTTAGAAATTAATCATTAAAAATCAATAAGATAAAAATTTATAACAATTGAAAAAGTACAATAATATTCTATCTTAAGTTAAACTCTAAATCAAATTTTAGATGATTCTTAAGCCACAAAAAAGAAACCTTGAATGTATAAATCAATATCTCATAAATAAATATTAAAAATTATCTATAAAATATCTCAATATTTTAGAAGATTAATACTAATCTAATTATTTCTTAATCAACTTAAAATATCTAATTTAATAATAATATATTTAATGTCTTAACATTTTTTATTTAATTATTTATATTTACATTTGTGAATATATTAATTATCTTTCTCATTTAAAAAAAAATAATTCATTATAACTTTTTCCATTTGTTACAATAAATTGATAGTATATCAGGAATATAGAATTTTTTAATATGATTTTCTCATAATTAATTGAATAAATGCTAATTTAAAATATATTTCAAATCCAGAAATTAAAATTCTTTTTTAATGGCATAATTCACAGTCGAAAACCTTGGTTAAGTTAATGAATTCCTTTCAACTAACAATTATTTGAATGGAGATCTTCCAGGAGCTGATGATGTCAGAATCTTCAATGCTTTGAAAGGTGTTCCACCAAAGGATCAATTCCCAGAAGTTTATTTCTGGTATTTACTCCTCAACTCTTTCACACCAGCTGTTAGAGCTTAATGGGGTCCAGCTGCACCAAAGAAGGAAGCACCAAAGAAGGAAGAGCCAAAGAAAGAAGCACCAAAGAAGGAAGAGCCAAAGAAGGAAGAGCCAAAGAAGGCTGCTGATGATGATGTTGATCTTTTTGGAGATGATGATGTTGATCCTGAAGCTGAAAAGAAAGCTAAGGCTTTGGCTGAATAAAAGAAATAAGAAGCTTTGGCCAAGAAAAACAAACCTAAGCCAGTTGCCAAGACTATTGTGATCTTTGAAGTTAAGATCTTTGAAGCCACAGATTAAGCTTTATTAGAAGCCACAGCCAAAAAAGTTAAGGAAACCATTAATCCAGATGGTTTAGTTTGGGGAAAGGAGGTCAAATATGAAGAAATTGCATATGGAGCCAAGAAGATTATCATGTCAATGATCATTGAAGATGATAAGGTACTTTATTAAATAATTCTTTTAGATTCTTACCGACGATGTGTTTGATCAAATCACAGCTTGGGAAGATGATGTTTCCAGTGTTGACATTGTATCAATGTAAAAGGTTTGATAAATATAAACAAGTACATAAAAATATAAAATAATAAAATCACACCATTGTAGTTTAATTATATATATAAAATAAGAGTTTCAATCAAATATCTATATTCTAATGATCTCTTAATTTCTAACATTAAATAAATAAATCGTATTGATTTAAATCATAAATCTTTAAATCAATTATATTCTGAATAACTTTTTATTTATCTTTAAAGAATTCCTATGATTTATCTAATAAGAGTCTATTCCTAATCACAATTTTGTTATTATTTTAAGAAAATCAAATATATTAATGAATAAATTAATATAAATTAATATTTAATTAATCCCAATATGAAAGCGATTTAAATGATGGAATTTTATAATATGATGAATGTTAAATTATTGATTATATATTTAGGATAATAGACATTTATTGATAGCAGATTTAAGAAAGTTGGAGTTTTTTGAGGAAAAATAAATAAGAGGAAGTTTTTGCATTCAGAATGATGTTTCAATGATGGCATCTCACATTTAGAAACATGATACAAATGCAAAGAAAAATGAAGAGAAATATAAAACTTAACCTATTCGTAGAATGGTGATTGTTAATGATGATTATTAAAAGATTGAACAAGAGGCTTAATTAATAAAAGATTTAATTCAAAGTTTAAAAATGAATGAATACAAAATTTATTATTTGAAAACATCAGTAGATGCATTCTTAGATAAATATCCTTTTTATACATTTTCAAAAACAATTTTATAAAATTATGAGAATTTAGATAATAATGAAGATTAATAGAAAGTTTTATTTGCTTATTCTTAATTCCCTTAATAACTTTAAGAGAACAAATTATATCTAGGAAGTAATTTGAATGCTAATAGTAAAAAGTAATTGGATGCTTTGTAAATAAAGACAATAATTGATTTAAAGAAATATGAACCTGATGCTTAATTATCTAGTTGGAAAAAAGAATAATATAATTATATTAATTATCCAATAAGTGAAGGAGGAGAATAATTAATTGATTTTTATTAAATTACAGAATTGATTGAATCATAAGATGCACCTATATTATTGTGTTGTCCAGTAAATATTTATAATATATAATTATAGGATGGTTATTCAATAACAAGTGTTGTTGCAATAGGATATCTGATGACATTAAAAAAGTTGAATTTCAATATTTCATCTTTGAAAGTATTTTAAATAAGAGGGAACACAACAGTAAATAAATAACTATACAGTTAAATATTGAGTTATGATCCAAAGACAATAGTTAATAAGATAATATAATAATAACTAGTATAATAATGATACTATAATTAATCAATTGAGCATATTATTAAGTTTAAGCTTAAATTTTTTTAAAAAAGGTTCTGTGGTTGTTTTATTTTTTTGAGAAACTGGATTGATTGAAGATATAAAATTAAAATAATCAGTTGATGTATGAGTGTAATTACATTATTAACTGTTTTATTTTTATGCAAGTAGAATATTCTTTAAACATTTCTATCTATATTAACTTGTAGAGTTCTTACGAGAGGATTTATGTTATGCAGAAATAATAATTCTTTATAGAACTTTAGGATAACTTGGTTGAGGAGTGGGTATACTTAATTCTACAAATGCACTTTTATGATGACAACTTTTTGGTCTTGAAATATTAGTAGGTGTTTCAGTAATTGATTGTCTTGGTAATAATCTAGTTATTGGTTATTTAAATGTAATAATTCTTTTTTTTTATTAACTTGATTTTGCAGGAGTAATAGGAACATCCCAAGGTTCAGCAGTGAAATCAGTTTCTATTTATTGATATAATTTATTTGTAAGTGGCATTTATATGAATTCTCTTAAAGTGGATTCTATGTTCAATAATTCCAATTATGGATCTCGAGACATATATATTATATATAATTTATATATATATATATAATATATATAAATAATTTCAATTTAATTTAAAACCCTTTTCATTTGCATAACGTTCTAAATATTATGGAGCATATTATATCATTTTTTCTTATCCAACCCAAGATGGTCTTATTGGTTGTCCACTTTCTCTTGGTTTCCATTCCACCAAGAACATATATTTATTATTATCCAATTCATCTTTAGCATAAGTAATTATTTTAATTATTTATTCTTCAGTAAATGCTACTCTACTCCCTCCTTTTTAAAATTATTTTGCAATATTTTTCAATTCTTTATTCAATTCCACTTATTAATTATTTTCTTTCTTCAAATGATATACAAATTCTTAATTTTCACGTTATGGAATCATAAAATCAGTTGTTGTTTATCTACATATTTATTCTTCTGTTGTTTTTAATGAATCTAATTCTCTTATCTATTCATATTAAACATCATCTTCAATTATCTCTTTCAATAATTCCATATAATAATTCTAATTATTTCTTGTTTCATATTATTCAATCATATCTAAATAATTACCCAATTTGTATAATTCAATCCATTATGTCCTAATTTTATGAGTAGGAGTCTCAAATTCAATCAAATAAAATATAATATTTGGTGTTTTAGCTCTTTTACCTATTATTCGTTTTGGATATTCACTCATATTATTCTAAAATCTTTTTCATTATAGTGTATTTACATCCAAATAAATCCTTTAATTATTTATCACTTTTATTCTTTAGTTCAATAATTTTAATAATTTTATCAATCAATCTACCTCATTCTAATTTAGAATTTCTTATTTTTATTTTATGTATTATAATTATTACTCTCGTATTCATTATGCTTAACCTAAACAACCATAACAATGTTGCAATCCATATATTGCATCACCTAGAATGACTGTAAAATACTTAATTCTTATCATTAGGTTATTCCATCTTCCATTAAACAAATGAGAGAATCTATACAAATACCATATAATTAAGATATCATGAAAGCAAGTGCCATTTTAGAAGTGGGTCAACGAACTCGTAATACTCATTACAAACAACGATTAGAAGGTATTTCTATTATATTTACAATATAGAGTTATATCTCAAATATGAAGATGGTTGCATTTATAGAGGTTAAGGTATTCCACCATCATAAAGACATGGCATGGGAGTCTTATTTAATACTGAAAATTAAGAAGTCTATTCTGGAGAATGGTTCAATAACCTTTATGAGGGATTTGGAATTTTGATTAATCAATCTCCACATCTGATTAAACCTAAAATTGACCCCAAAGATTTAAATACTATTGAAGATGGTTGGCATAATTACAAAGGCTATTTTAAATAAAATAAAATGCATGGAGAAGGCATTCTAACACTTACAAATGGTTAGAAATTTGAAGGTCATTTCATTAACGGTATGATTCATGGAAAAGGTCGTTTTTATGGAGACTAAATTATAATTGGAAATTGGTTTGAAGGTGTTTTAATTTGAAATTTATTATTTTGTATTTTACTACTCAAAATTCTTTATTCAAACTTTACAATCTATTTAGTATTAGAATATTTTATAAATTATAAATATATCTATACATTAATTTTATCATTATTATAATACATACATTTGATAAGTTCTATCATTTATATAGCTTGATTAAGATAATTTGAATATTCTTATAATCATTTATTATTACATTGCCAAACATTATTAAAGTGGTTAAAAATTAATAAGAAAAATTTTTAAGTACTTTCTTTTTTGTAATTTTATTTAATGTGACTAGTTTATAAGAAAGACTTAACATATTAATAAATATTATATATGTGTTAAATCATATAATAAAATAATCTTAAGAGTATAAAATAATTCCTTTATTCTTTAATTAATAAATTATCAAATATAATAATAATAATTACAAATTCATTTAAAATTCAATTAAAAAAATTATTGAATTCTTCATAACTTAAAACCCTATCATTATTTTTATCCACTTATTTAAATAGTTATTTTATTTCATTATTTTATAGTATGTTGTTAAACTCTTTGCAAAATAGTCTAAATTCTTCCAGATTGAGTTTGTATGATCTACTTTTGTTGTACTTTTTAAATATATTTTCATTTGTTAAATTGTTTTATCTCATATATTATATAATGTCTTATTTTATTTTCTTATTTAATTAAATATGATACTTTTAACATTATTTTATCTACTACTGTCTATTAAGGACTTACTATTCTTTTAAAATCCTCTAAACTTATTGAATTAACATTTTCTTTATCAAATTTTGCAAATATCTAACATATAACATATTAATTTACAAATACTATTTCATTTTTTAATAATGTTGGTTTCACTCTATATATTAATTTAGAGAATTCTTCAAATCCTAATCTTCCAACTTGTTTTTTATCATAAAAATTAAATATATTTTCAATTTTTAATTTATTTATTTAAACCAAATCTTAAAATTCTTAAATAAATTTCTTATATGTTTCTTTAAATTCATTTGATTCGTTACTATTGAAAAGTATTTTAAATTAATTTGAACTTACCTTCTACTATTTTTATACATCCAATAACTTATAAATACTAAATAACTCTTGATCGGTTAATGAAGGATCTATTCTTTAAATAAATTTAAAAAATTAATTCTAACTTAAAGTTCCTTCTTAGTTGATATCAAATAATTTAAGTTACTCTTCATAATTTAATTTTCTTATTTTTATTATAAGCTGTAAATGTTCTAATATATAATTATCAAATCCGTTTTAATCTTAAATATTCTAATTTATATAATTTTATTATTACTTTGATATTTTATTTCAAAGCTCTATCAAAGTATGGATGTTCAAACAGTTCAGGCCAATTTAATCTCTACTTTTCGTCAATTTTGAGACATTATCTTATGAAATCTATTATTTTTGTTATATAAGTACTTTTATATTAATCAGACACTGTTTTCCCTACAGGAAATCTAATAGGATAGCATCGTATATTCTTTAGATAAGATTTATAATCTCCATAAGGCCAGGGTTACTTTCCATAAACTAATTAATATGCTATAATTCCTATAGACCATATATCACATTTAGACGTATATGGGACATTATCAAGTAATTAAGGTGACATATACAAAGGAGTACCAACAGGTTATTAAAAATATTCGTAAGGAGTAGCCTTTAGAGCGAATCCAAAGTCAGCCATCATAAAAATTCCATTTTTTATCAAAATATTGGCTGGTTTAACATCTCTATGAATATAACCTTTTGTTATAATTTCTCTGAATGCATTAACTATTTAGATCAATATTCTTAAGGCTGTTTCTTCATCTAATGAATTTTAATTTCTTTCAAGAAATAACAACAAATCTCCACCATCACAATAATCAAAGACAGCAATCTAACGTATATTTTAAATATACATTTTGTTTTATATCAGAGTAACAATCTATGAATTTTATGATATTTGAACTTTGTAAATCTTTGATTATGCTCATTTCATTTTGAAATTTGCAAATGGAATCCTCATCCTATAAATCATCTGTATTCAGTACTACGATTTAAAATACAGTATACATTTTATTGCTACACATTATTTCGTAATGCAATCAAGGCCTTTAAAGACTATTCCATAAGCCCCGCGACCTATTTCATCATCTTCTGAATAAACATATCTATTTAAGATTTTATGCATCATTCGAATATTATAATTTAAAATTGATGTGATTTGACAACTTAAATCAATTTGAAGTTTTTAATATAATAGTATAAATCAGATGATTTATAAAATTAATATAAAAAACAATAATGAATTTGTAATCATCTACACTTATTTTTTTCAATTTCCCTTTCATATTATATTTATACATAGAGAATAAAGATATCATATATTTTTTATCAATATAAACAGTCAAAATTTATTAAACAATAAATATCAATTTTAATATTAATATCAAATAATTCAGCATGTAAATGTGAATTTGATATTTGAATACATAGCAATAAAGATTAATTTACAAATCTTTGGTTTATTGTTAATATTCTAAATATTCTGCTTCGATATATAGGAGTCTAATCAACAAATAATTGTTTAATTTAAGCTTAAAAAAATTAATACACATTCTAACTATTTCTGATTATCATTTCTAATATCACTAGTTCTAGATATTTAAAAACTTCGTTTTATTTTGAATAAGTTAATGATAATAAATATATATTTAGATATGGATCTCATCCACTTCATTTACTATTAGTTAATAATGATTAAAAATTAAATATATGGGGGGAATTTCGATGTAAGATTTAATTAATTTAAAGAAATAACAAATTAAATGATAATAGAATAAGTAGGTAATAATTAATGAAAAATTTTATCTGATATAGTATTTATTCGCAATTTAGGATTGACCTAATGGAAAATAGTTTCCTATTAGAATAGAATTCATCCATCATTTGAGATATTCAAATAATGATTTAGTATTTATAGATATAATATTATATACATTGTTTTTTATTTTATTATTTTATAAACTAAAATACTTGAAATATGGATAAGAATGATAGAGATTAATATATTATAGAAGAAACAGAAACAAAATTAATTTCAATGGGACAATATGGATAAATTTATGAATGCCAAAGAAAAGATGGTAAATAAAAGGAACCTTTATGTGTAAAGATTATCAAAAAAAAAGAACAGACCATGAATCAATCATTAAATGAGATTAAAATATTGGCAAAAATAATGAAGCTTAAACCTGAGAATCTTGTGAATATAATACATATATTTGAATAAATTCATCAATTTGAAATCATAATGGAAAGATGTGATATGGATTTAGAATAAGAATTTAATATTTTATAGAAAAATAAATTATGGTATACTGATGAAGATTGTTTTAATATTTTAACATAAATTACTAATGGGATACGCATTTTACATCAAAATAATATTCTTCATAGAGATATTAAGCCTTCTAATATTTTAGTGAAAGTTAAAAATAAAGGGAGAAGAGTATATAAAGTAAAATATTACAAAATCCGCATAGATTTCAGATTTTGGATTTAGTAAAATCTTAGAAAATTACTGTAAAACTGATTATTATACAACTATGGGAACTCCACTTTATGCTTCTCCCTAAATTTTTAATCAATAAGCATATTCAGGAAAATGTGACATTTATTCTTTAGGAATAATATTATATTAAATATTTTTTAATGGAAATATGCCAATAGTATTTTAAACAAAATCAGATCTATAGAATTTCCATTAGATCCTCAAAAAAAAAGAGTTTTAATGCCAACTTCCTAATTATTCTTATGCAGAATAGATAGTTGATTTGTTATAAAAGATGATTGTGTATAAAGAAGAGGAGAGAATATCATTTGATCAACTTTTTTAACATCCAATACTAAATATTAAAAAGTAATTTTTATTTTAGGATTCAATATTTAATTCGAGTTCTTTAATATTATACAATTTACAAACAAAACATATATATAATCTTCTTGATATAGTATACTAAATATAAGTAATATTTTACAGAAAATATTTATTTTATAAATCAGTTTGTAAAAAGTTATCAATTGATTAATAGATTTATAAAAAAGCTGCTTTATATTGTTTATTATTTTTAGGAATGAATTAACTTAATTATTATATGGGATTTATTCATATTATAATATCAGATATACATCCTCATTTCTAAAAGAATAATTTTGACACTATATTGTAGCATTTAAAATTATGTCAAAATAATTTAAATTTACATCCATAATATTAATAACAAATAATTCAAGTTAAAAAAGAATACTATAATGAAAAAAAATATATAGCTAATTAAAATAATCAATTGTAAAAAGATTTAATTCTCATTTAAGGCAGTCCTAAATTTCTTAGTTCTTTTATTGAGATGTTTTATTAAAGTAATTACAAAAGAATTGAATAATAATAAATAATTGATATCCTTAAATTCTTTTTGGATTAAAAATTATTGGAGTAATAATATTATTAATTTAAGTGGCTTTGAAGCTAGTATTTAAGCTGCAATATCTTTAGATGAATAATTTCCAATTCAGAATTTTTAATCGATAAATCCTAATGATATTTTTTTAGATTGAAATTATTAAAGTAATCATAAATTTTACTCTAATTTATTTATTTTATTTTTATATTAAAAAAACTTTTTGTTTTTAAAATAAAAATACTTTAATTTTATAATTCACATTAATCCAAAACCTTCTGCATTATCTAAAGATATCATTAATTTATCCCTTAATATTTCTTTCTTCTTGTAAAGAGGTAATAATAAAACGTTGAAACAAGTATGAGCTGATGGTAATTATTCAGTATCTAATATTATTTAATCAATCATACCTTCACCATGCTTTTAAATAACAAATTTTATTGATTTTAATCCTCCTACAGGAATCCTATCTGTTCCTGTACAGAAAAACAAAAATCTCTTTTACATTTCAATATTCAATGAATGTATACAATTCCAAAAGTATCTATTTATAATAAATATCATATTATATACCTTATATAATCAGATTTATCATCATAACCATCATATTTTGTAACTAATTCTAAGTCTTTTAAATCAAAGTGTGGTAAACCAATAATTAATGCTTATAATTCCTCTCCTGAAAATAACTAATTTATAAAATAATAACAACTTTAATTCCATCTCCATCAACTACAGATTTAAATCCTGAATACAATAAATCAAACTAATTTTTAACAAGTTTATTTAAGTACCAATCAGTATATAATTCTATATATTCTTCTCTATTATCTTTTGTAACATTAATTTAAAATCCATTAGGCTTTAAATATATATTAATATACTTTCAAATCATCAAAATATGCTTCTCCCCATACAACATAACTTGCATTAAAATTTAGAGCAAGATTCTAAATTAAATTAGAATCAGTTTATTCTCTTAAATATTAAAATCCTGTATAAATTTCCATATCTAATTCTTTTAAATCTTCTTCTGTAATTTTTTCATTCTATAATTTCTTGAATAGAACAGTTGGAAATCTTACATCTAATAATACTTAATTATAGAGAGCCAATCCTAATAACTTTCCTATCAATGAATAGTATATAGGCATTTCAAAAGATTTAGGATTGAACCAATAAATTGTTCCATTATTTTTTGGAATAAACATTCCATAATCTGGTGAAATTAATTTTTCCATCATTAATCTAAAAAATTCTCTTTTTGGACCACCTTCATCTACACCTTGTTCTCCTATAAATTAAACTTTCAAAGGATTTTTTAATGGAATATGAGTTATTTATAATTATTTTATTGCTGATTCTATAATATTGTTTCTTTCAATTTATAAACTAAGATATGGTGCTTATCCAGTAAAATGATACTTTACTGAATGACTCATACTATCATGTTATTTAACTTTACAATCTAAACTTAGTAATTTTGATTTAAATTCAATAGGTATAGACCAAGCATATAAACAAAAAGTAAATGAATAGTTTCTCCATTATTTAGCTGCATAATACCTAAATTATGAAAATTCTTCTTTATCAGCATCTTGTTTATATAATTTAGTAATAAGATCAATTATAAATTCTGAAGATTATAATCTAGTATTCATTTTGTTTGATTTTTATAAGATTTGGAATAATTCAAATAAACCAACCATTTTTTATGTATCTTCTATTTCTAGAAATGGCATTAATGGTGTATGTTATTGTCTTAGAATCTCAGAATTTATTAACTTTTTTATTTTTTTTGTAATATCTTCAAATTCTGCTTTTGACAGATTTGTAAACCATTTAGATAATTATAATTTTTAATTAATATCAAGTCTTCTTATAATTTTTAATATTATTTAAGATTTTTCATCAACAATATATTCTAAATATTAACGAAATTGTAATAATAAATAAAGTGCTCTTAATTAATATAAATTACTTAAAGGTTCTAAATTTTTTTCTTTTTCAGAAAATAAATTATTTATTATTAAACTTAATCCTTTTTTGTAATTGATGAATTTCTTTTATATATCAATAATTAAATTAGAATCAACATCTACATTCTATTGATCTATTATATAAACACCAGATTTATTATAAAAATTTTCAACAAATGATGCTCCAAATATTTCCAATTAATTAGAAATTTTTATAGTAGCTTCTTGTAAATCTTATTAAAAATCAGACATTTATAATGGAACCATTTTATCATTAATGTTTTTTATTTGATAACATATTTAATTCCAATTAACTTCTTCATTTTCTACCAATTATTAACATATTCCTTTGATATCATCTTAACTAAAATCTTATTCAAGAAATCCATTATTCAATTTACATTATGGAAAATCACATACATATTTACCACAACCATTTAAAGCTCTGTTGAATAAGAGTTCAGTATCAAATTAAATTTACTATTATTAATTCATTTTATTAAATTGCCATTTATTTGATTCAAAATCTAAAATTAAACAATTATCTCTTTTTGATTCTAATTGAAAAATCATAATATTTTCTTATAAAATATCTCCATCAATAAGCATAGTTTATTATAATTATGTTGTTATTACATCAACTTTGAAATTCTAATGTCTAGGTAACCAGATTCTTATATTATTTATTGGATATTATTTATATTCATCTTAAAATGTTGCTTTCAATAAATCTAACCAAGATTTAATTTCAGAATGATAGTCTACTTATGCTTTAACACTATAAATTTTGTTGTCTCTTAAAGACTAATATATCAATGTAAACTAAAATTAATAAAATTGTATACTCGAGCCAAATTTGGATAAACAATTTTTTTTTTTTCATTTTCATAATAAAATCCAATTCTTTTTTATGGTTCAATTGATGAATATTTCTCTTTAAATAAATCGAAAACATCCTTAAGAATCTATTTATTTTTAATAATTATTCTTACATATTCATAATCCCATTCATTTTCCAAATAACGAATACTAGAATTATATATATGATCTTCAGGTATATATTTAAAAATCTTTTCATTGCATTACAAATCAGAATTGATTTTATCAGGCTAATATATTTAAATTTCAAAACTTTCTTTCTCGCCTCTTTTTATTAATCTCCCATTTCTTCGTAATAATCCACATAATATTTCCATTATTTAATAAATTTTTTTGATACTAAATAGTACTCTATACCACCTTTCTCTCTTAATGTTTTATCATATCTCTATTGTAATCAACTAAAATTTACTCTTCTTCCATCATCATATCTTCTAATTTCTTCATACTCAATTGGATCTCCTACAGGTAGGTGCCAATTATGCAAGAAATGATTAATCATGAAAATCAATATAATTTAGATTAGTATTAATTAAATAAATTCTCACAACACCTTTGATCAAAAAATGTTATTGAAAATTCATATCAATTTTTTAATTTTGATTCCATATTGAAGATCCATGAATTCTTAATATTAATATGGATTTTTATATTAAAAAATCTGAAACTTTCTTAAGGTTTTTTATAATTACTTTAAAAATAATTGATAAATTTCGATGTATTCGTTAAAATAGATAATTAGAATTATTTCTAGTATCTTATTTTATTAAGAATTCTAATTTATTTTTAGAATTTTATACAAATTAAATTAAGGAATGTATAATTAGGTAACAGAAAAAAGTTAGTAATCATATCATAAAAACAATAGAAGTAATTTAGAATCTGATAAGTAAGCATATACTGAAGAAACAGTTTCAAACATAAATTAATTAATAGTTTAATTACATAAGAATTTATTTGAATAACAGAATAAGATCGACAAACTATTCAATATTTTCGAATGAAATAAATAGATGGCTATTGTAATTGAAATTTCTGGTTCTCATTAAGTTACTAATTGAAATATATAAATATATATTTAGAATAAGATTAATAAATCTTTATTAACTATCAGTAGAACAATTCTTTATTTAAAAGCATTTAATTGATTAAAATCTATAAAATAAAAATAGAACTTATTTACTATATTTTAGTATTTTTTAATTAACAATATTAAAAGAGCACAAGAAAGAAGTATATATTTGGGAGATTAAATTTTATTAGTTTAAGAATTCAAGAGAAAAGGATTAGAGAAATTTTATGGATCATAATATTTTTATTCTAGAAATAATAGAATTAAAATAAAACATCTTATTAATATTAGAAAACGTAGTGATTAATTCATCAAAGCTCCAATTTTATTTTAATATCAGCCAATTTTTCACTTTATTTTAATGGAATTACTCTAATTTAATTTTAATTCTAATTTTATTAATTAATTTTTTTGGATTCACACAAAGGTTATTTCATTATAACATGATCTGTCTCAGGCTTTAAATCAACAAAATGTTTATAAGGATATATTTTCCATTTTTAATTAAAGTCATTAAAATATTGATTTATTTTATCATCATATTCTACTTTTGAATTTTAAGATTATTGGCTCAATTTAAAAACAAAGTTTTAATGCTTCCATTCAGTAAAATCATTATTTAAACTTGATTATATAACATCAGGTTGAATGTTTTCAACGAACTTAAGAGAATTCAACAAAGAGGTTTACATTTTTAAATCCATTCTTTTAGGATTAGGCTTGCTAATTGGTTTTTTTAAACTTTATTATTGCTTTAAGTTTAACTTATTTTAGTTTAGTTCTTGAGCTTTTGGTTTCTTTTTTATTGGTATTAAACATATTTCATCATCTTCTGAAAATTATTCCATTTTATGAAAACTAATGTGTTTTATAGTATAAAAATTACTATCTTTATTTAGAGCAATTTACCGCCTTGATTAAAATTAAATAATTCTATGAGTAAAACCTAAACTATTCATAAAATTGTATCATACATACATTCAAAAATTATAGTTGATATAATATAATAGATCAAAAAAAGATCTCATTTTAATTATATATATCTTTATAATGAATTTGAGTTCTTTAAGAAAGGTAAACATTATAATATATAAAATTAAAACAAAAACATCATATAATTGAAAAAATAATAAATGACTCTTTGAATTAGAATAATTAGTATATTTATCAAATTCATCGTTAAAAAGTTTATATAATAAATAAAATTATTAAAAAAATGTAAGAAATTGAAGCAAAGAAGCAATTAAAAGCAAGTGAAGGAGCTCATTTTTTTTATACTTTGATATTCCTATCAGCATCTGGTATAATAGAGACTCAATTTATTGAACAGAAATGTAATTAAAATTTGCAATTGTTTGTTCACTTAGTATTCTATGGATTAATTATCTGGGGTACTTATATTTTAATTACATTAATACCAAGGTATGTAATATAATTTAATTAGATATAAAAATGCAGCTATCAACTTATTTTTTAATTTTCTTGATATTTGTTTTGGTATATACATAGGACTATTATTGTTTTATGGAGGACGTATGTATATGGCATCTAATGATTGTTAAGCTGAAGCTCCTGTATTATACTTTTTTTTGGAAACATTTTTGTTTGTATTCTTTTAATTTGAAATTATTAGGTTAACGGCATCATATTTGCAATATTGTTTTTAGCATTTGTGTCATATGTCTTAAAGAGATTTTCAAAATCATAATAAGTTTATGATGAAGGTAAAGATGAATTTTATGAAGCATGATAATAATTTTTAATATTATATGAATAATTCAGTCTAAAATATACGAAGACCTGTAACATCTTAAAACTATAGATCAATAGATAAATTAGGTAGTAACAGCTAATAAAAATTACCAAATTTAAGTGATGTTATGAATCTTAAACTAAAGTAACAAAGTGAGAGAGAGTTACAGGATTTGATTTAAAAATTAGTTAAACAAGTTTAATAACTTAATTCATCAGTCATCTAAAAAGATAAATAAATTTAACAATATGAATTCATGATCAAATCTCTTTAAATTGCTATAGAAAAAAGAGATTGTATTATTAGTGCATTGAGAGTTGAAAAGTAATAAATAGTTGAAGTTGTGAATCCATTAAAGCCTATGATAAAGACTGATGATTCATCAAGAACTCCAAGTTTGGGTCCGAAGAAATCATTAAGAACAAGAACAAAAGACACTAATTTTGATGAAAATCTCTCTGCCATCCTTGATTCTGACTATGGTAAATATATTAGAATTAATTTGAGCCTTATTAAGTTAATATGTAAAATGTTATGAAGAATTAAATCATTTGACATAAATAAAGAATTTAGTATCTAATGAAGATTAATTCTTTGCTAACATTTAGAAAATGGAATTAAGTAATATAGTACATATTTTTGATGCAATTCAATTAGTATTGTAAGAACATAAACTATTATTCAAAAATGTAATCAAACAAAATAAATTATTTGATGCATGTTTATAAATATATGAAGTAATTTATCCTTATGATCAATTTTCAGCAAATTCCTTTGAATGATTAATTAGAAAGTTTGTAAGGATTATTGAAAGATTCTCTAAATTGTGATAAGGTTCAAATCTATGTACTTGATAGTGAACATTAAGAATTATGGACAAAAACTAAAGATAGAGTATTAAGAATATAGGCAAATGAAGATATAATTGGTGCTTGTTTTTAAGAAAGAAGTTTAATTAATGTTCATAATGCATATAATGATCCTAGATTTAAAAAAGAAAATGATAAAGGATATAAGACTAATACTCTTTTATTATGTCCAATTTTGGATAAATAATAAAATTCAATTGGAGTTATTTTAGCAATTAATAAATTAACTGGACATTTTAATAATGATGATTAATTATTCATTTCCAAGACCTCAGAAATGATATCAATTTTATTAAGAAATCATTAATAATCTAATGAATCAATTAGTATCTAAAATGCATTAAGAAATGTAATATAAGTATTAAATTCTATTGTTTAATTTAGGCTTAATTATAATTAGTATATATGAATGATACAGAATAAATCTTATTTGAAGCAGAGAATTTGTTAAAGAATTTATTTCATACTTAAAAAGGTTTAGTTTATGTTGTTAATAATAATCGATTATTAAGAGTGAATGAAAAGAAATTATTAGAAGTATCTTAATTAGGAATTGGTATTGTAGGAGAAGCACATAAAATCAAAGAGTTTTTATGGGTTTAGAATGCTTACAATCATTAATCATTTAATAATTTAGGTTATTAATTAATATTATTTTTAGTTGATATTTAAACCACTATGCCAATTTACTGCATTGAAGTTGAAGGAAAAAATCAATCAGTGATTTTATAAGTAATAAATAACAAAGGAATCAGATCTTAAAAGGTTAGTTCATTTGATTAGGAATTACTTGAAATGTTCGGAAAAATTATATTAAGTAAAATTGATTTTATATAATTATGATCTTTATACATACATCACAATAATTGATTTTATTCTAAATATGTTTTATAATATTGAAGTTAATATTATATAAAATTAAAATAAATTATAAATCATTCTAAAACGATTTTATAAATATAGAAATTAAAATTAATCCTATATAGATGTAAATATATAATAATGTTATATTTCTATTTTATTAATTAATTTTTTATATCATAGTGATAAACAATCAATTATTCTTAAAAACATTATTTTTAAATTAAATATATTATTATCTTGGAAAATTATTCATGATATTTTATATCTTTTATATTATTTTGCTATTTAATTGATATTATCTTAAAGATACTTTAAAATATTTCATATTATCAAAATTAATGTGAGATTTTATTATGATAAAATTCACACTTTTTTCTTTATTAATTCTATAAAAAATTGAAATAATACTTGTAAACTTAATAAGTAGTTTTAGCTATTTATGAAAGCTATATTATAAAAGATTATTTAAGTCTTAATTAAACAATATTAAATAATTTTTATAAATTTGAATATCTATAACAACAATATTGGTTAGATTAAAAAATCAGATCATCTCTAAAATCATAATTGTAATTATATTTGAATTTCATGATAAGCTAGTTGTTTAACCATTATTAAAAAAAGGCAAATATTGAAATCTAAAAATAGATCTAACTAAATTATTTTAATTTTAAGTAAATCATAATGCATAAATATTATAATAATATTAACTAATAAAAATAAACTATTCTATTTTTAATTATGTTATAATATAAAATATCATTAAAGTAGAATTTTCAATTTAATTTATTTTTATCACTTCTGTAGTTTGTCAAAGTCATTATCTATTTTCATATAAACATAGAATAATTCTTAAAACCCTCCTCTCGGTAGTAAAATAATCAAAAAATTATTTTTTAAATTTATACTAACATATTATTTTAGTTTCAGCAATAACTAATATCAAATATTAGAAAAGGAATTTATTTAAATAATTCAATAAAAATATCTAAAATTGATTTTGCTTCCTGAGGAATTAAAAGTTTTTAGAATTTTTAAGTAAATTGATATAGCATACCTAGCGATTTTATTATACTAAAAATAAGTTTATACAAAAAATAAATAATTATTTATTGCAAGAACACCAAATCATGCTGTTAATGTATTAATAATAAAATAAATTTTTATATTCTTAATAAGGTCTATTATGTTTAATTTATATATTAAGTCTTATCCTAGGGTATTGATTTTCAGTTATTTTTCAGTAAATTTTACTTAGAGGGTTTGAATAAGATTTGGAAATATTTAGATTTTCTAGAATAGCAATCTCATTTATAACAGTTTAATAAATCATTTATAAACTAGAAATAAAAATTTTGAAAAATAGATTTATATGGATTTTATCTTATGCATATATTACAAGAATATTTTTAAATAGTACCTAATGAAAACAGATAATAATAAATAAAATGAGAGTTTTTTATGAAAACTCAACTTTTGAGATTTGAGTTAGAAAGTGTTTGAAGAAGAAGTGTGTTTGATTATAATATGAATTAAAAGATATTTAAAATTAGATGATTAATAAATTCAAGATAAATTTGATTGAAATATGTATTGAAATATGAAGTAAAATAATTGTAAAATAAGATTGGTAATGAAAAGAAGAGGAATTAGAATAAAGGAGAGGATTAATAAATATTTTATATAATAATAATTTATGGATAGTTCTAGAATAATAGGGATTTTTAATAATTAAGGAGATTAGATTTGATTAAGAATTAAAAATTAATTTGAGGTAATAAAATGCTTAGCAAATTATTGAGATCAACATCTTAAGTGAACTAACACACTGTGAATGCATTCAGTAGCAAGGTCATGAAGGGAGAATATGTGATTGGTATTGATTTAGGGACTACAAACTCTTGTGTGTCAATTATGGAATGTATAGATATAGTATATATTCAGCTGGAACACCAAAAGTTATTGAGAATGCTGAAGGTATGAGAACTACTCCATCTGTCGTTGCATTTACAGCTGATGGATAAAGAATAGTTGGAGCTCCAGCAAAGAGATAAGCTGTAACAAATCCTGAAAATACAGTTTATGCAACAAAAAGATTGATTGGTAGAAGATTTGATGACCCAAATGTTTAGAAAGACATTAAGCATTTAAGTTATTCAGTTGTAAAAGCTTAAAATGGTGATGCTTGGGTTAGTTTGAAAAGTAAATATTTTTATTAATAATTAAGGTGGTTAAACCTATTCACCATCATAAATTGGTGCTTTTGTTTTAATAAAGATGAAGGAAACAGCTGATGCTTATATTGGTAAACCATAATCTAAAGCTGTTGTTACAGTACCTGCTTATTTCAATGATTCTCAAAGATAAGCAACTAAAGATGCTGGTAAAATTGCTGGTTTAGATGTTTTAAGAATCATCAATGAACCTACAGCAGCTGCATTGGCATTTGGTTTAGAAAAGAAAGATAATAAGATTATCGCAGTTTATGATTTAGGAGGTGGTACTTTTGATATTTCTATTTTGGAAATTAATGCAGGAGTCTTTGAAGTTAAAGCTACTAATGGTGATACAAGTTGTGGAGGTGAAGATGTTGATTCAATTTTATCTAATTGGATTAGTTAAGAATTCAAGGCATAAGCTGGTGTGGATATTTCTAAAGATAAAATGGCTGTTTAAAGAGTAAGAGAAGCTGCTGAAAAAGCTAAAATTGAATTGTCATCAACAACATAAACAGATATTAATTTACCTTATTTAACTGCTGATGCCACAGGTCCAAAACATTGCAATCTTAAATTAACAAGAGCAAAACTTGAATCTTTGACTGAAGATTTCCTTAAGAAAACAATCAAACCAACTGAAAATTGTATTAAAGATTCTGGTGTTGATAAAAGCAAAATTGATGAAGTTATTTTAGTTGGAGGTATGAGTAGAATGCCAAAAGTTTAAAAATTGGTCTAAGATCTCTTTAATAAACCACCCAATAAATCAGTCAATCCAGATGAAGCAGTCTCTATTGGTGCTGCTATTTAAGGTGGTGTTTTGAAAGGAGATGTCAAAGAATTATTATTATTGGATGTTACTCCTCTTTCTTTAGGTATTGAAACATTAGGAGGAGTATTTACTAAAATGATTCCAAGAAATACAACTATTCCAACCAAAAAGAGTTAAACTTATTCAACTGCTAGTGACAATTAAACAGTTGTTTCAATTAGAGTCTTTTAAGGTGAAAGAGAAATGGCTGCTGATAATAAATTATTAGGATAATTTGATTTATCAGGTATCCCACCTGCTCCAAGAGGAGTACCATAAATTGATGTTACTTTTGATATTGATGCTAATGGTATTGTCCATGTTTCTGCTAAAGATAAAGCAACAGCAAAAGATCATTCAATTACTATTCAATCATCAGGTGGATTAAGTGAAGCTGAAATTTAAGATATGATCAATAAAGCTGAAAAGTATAAGGATGAAGATAAAAAGAGAAGAGTATTATTTTATTATTAATTTAATAGGAACTTGTTGATTTAAAGAATGAAGCTGATGGAGCTATTTTCAATACAGAAAAATCATTGAATGAACACAAGGCTAAATTATAACCAAATGAAGTTTAAGAAATTGAAAGTGCTATTTAAAATTTGAGAGTACTCTTAACTGAAAATCTCACTGCTAATGATGTTTAAAGACTTAAGGATGCTGTTGAGAATGTCAAGAATTCAGCTATGAAAATTGGATAAGCAATGTATTTATTAATCATAATTGATTTTTAGGTATCGTAATACTGGAGGCGCTAGTGAATAATAGCAATAATAATCTTCTGAATAATAAGGAGAATAATAACAATAATAAGAAGGTGGAGAAAATAACAACAATAAATAAAATTGATATATTATGTTATTAATATTGTACATTCCTTTAACATTGGCTTTTTATCTTTTATGAGAATTTTTCATTCAATAAAAAAAATTTTATTTTATCAAAGAGTAGAGAATTTGAACTCTTTGAATCTGTATTTTTTAATTGTAATTGGATATTAAGATTGATCATCTTGAAAAATGATAATTTCATATTCCATCAGATATATAGCAATAAAAAATCATTTATAATTTATATAGTAATTTAATTCTTAATTGTTAATTTAATTTATTATATTCAATTTTAATAATCAATCTTCTTTTAAATTCAATGTTAATAGAAGTGATACTCAAGATACAATAATCTCTTTATTTTGTATTATTGTATCAGAATATTATAATAAGATAAAAATCTAAATTTCAAGATCTAATCATATCTATAAAATATTTCCTACAGTATTCTTTAAATTTAATGATGATGTAATTATGTTTAAATGAGATTCTTCATATTTAATTTCTTATAGGAGATGAATTCTTAAAATACTCTAAGAAAAGATTATTTTAAGAAACCTTATTGTTATCATTTCTTAAATGAAAGTAGATTACAATTATATGTAGATATTTATATAAAATTGAACAATAATTTTATTTAACATAAATTAGATTTAATATATAAATAATTAAAAATAATAAATTTAAATATTTTTAAAGTGAAAATAAGTATAAATGAGAAAATTTATATCATTTAATAAAAGCTATTACTACTGTAATATCATCTATGACTTCATCTTCTCTTTACCATGCTTCTTTTGCAGCTTATACCAATCTTTAACAAGCACCTTGAGTATCATCTTTTTTATAATATTCATAAACAGTTTCAACAACCCATTCATTAGAAAGAAATCTTATGTTTTATATAAAAATAATACTCCCATATTCCATCAGATGCAACAATAATAAATTTATCACAAGGTAAAAGTGCATGTTTTATTATTTCTGGTTCACAAATAACACCAATTTAACTTGCAACATAATCTCCAAAACTTCTTGACATAGCTAAACCTGGAACATCTTCATCTGATTTCCAAACTCTTGCAGGACCAACAGGATTCCCATCTTCATCACTATATGCTTATACACGACCTCCTCTCTGAATGATTCTTGCTTACTCCAAAAAACAATCAGGTTTATGATCTTTGGATAATTCTATTACTGAAAGTTTATTATCAAATCTTCCTATAATTGCTCTACTATCCCCAATATTTGCACAATATAATATATTTTCAAAGGAAATAAGTGTTACAGCGGTTGCACCTGAATAGGTCACATCAATTCCACTTTCAAGTAATTCTTCATTAGTTTATAAGAAACAGTTTTTGAGGATTGTATTGACTTATCTATAAATTAATTATATAAGTTTACTTATCACGATCATAACAGGATGAGATAGTTAAGATACCTTATTCAATAAATGAAGGTAAGACTTATTATAAGAATTAAGCTACTTAATGGCCATTAGTGCCATGACCATCTGAAACTTATATATACCAATCATTATCTTTATTGTTAAATTTGTTGATTAATTTATAGATATCTTGATTGGTTTTAGTTTAACCATTATAAAGCATACCAGGAGAACTTAATCCATTAGCTTTAGTAATGTAGAGTTATAAATTTGAAATATCTGGATTACTAATTGAACGTGGTCCTTTAAAGAGTTTAGATTTAACTATGTTTTATTATTGTTGCTTAGTCATTTCCATTAATTTTTGATATTTTTTAGAAATGCTTTATTGATTGAATATATCTTTGTTTTACTGAATAACAGGTTATTTAGTTTCAGGTCTTTCTTACTTGATTTTTAATAAGATTGATAAGGCATTAGCAGATATATTTTGTGAATTTTCTTTAGTTTCGATTAATTTGCTATTCTAACGTGCATGAGTTTTTTTGAGTAATACACTGCTAACATCTTTAAAATCTTTTCCGCTAGTTGGTCTTGATTTTTTAGCTTCTATTTTAGAATTGCCAATTCCATTCCTATTGCTTGGAACTAGATATCTAAATAATAAAATGATGTGTATACTTATTAGGATTTACAATTGGTGATTTTAGACGAGCTTATTATTCTTAATCACTTTTCTTTTTGAGAAGTGAAGCATATAATTTATCAGGAGATATTTAAGAGGCTTTAGCTTTCATGCAAAAAATAGTTGTTAATTATTAAATTATTAATATTTTATATATTTTTACTTGATCATATATTTTCATCTTCCAATTCTCCTTACAAACTATCTACCATCTATTCAATTTATCTCTATAATTTTTCAGTTGTTAATTCACTTTATCCTGGAGTCTTCTCATATGCACTTTTTAAATCCCAAGTAGGTGCTACATCCATTTATGGAGTTTAATCTTATTAAAATCTCCTTTCAAATTGTATCATTTCTAATAATATCTATTCTTCAGGCAATAATTATAATGGTTGACCATTTTCATCTAATAAATCAATTTATCAATAGCTCTCACATATTCCAAATTTTCATCTTAAGGTAATTCAACCATAGGAGCACTTGGAGAATCTTCAAATATAACTTATTATCCCATATCTAGTGATGAACCATCATTTGTGAATAAATCAGCAAAATTTGTATCTTTCTTTTGAGTTTAATCCAAAGTCTCTTCTACATATATTTCATTATCTTTAAGTTAAATTAATGATTTTTGTGATTTAGATTTTTTAATTGCATTTAATACNCAATAAATGAAGGTAAGACTTATTATAAGAATTAAGCTACTTAATGGCCATTAGTGCCATGACCATCTGAAACTTATATATACCAATCATTATCTTTATTGTTAAATTTGTTGATTAATTTATAGATATCTTGATTGGTTTTAGTTTAACCATTATAAAGCATACCAGGAGAACTTAATCCATTAGCTTTAGTAATGTAGAGTTATAAATTTGAAATATCTGGATTACTAATTGAACGTGGTCCTTTAAAGAGTTTAGATTTAACTATGTTTTATTATTGTTGCTTAGTCATTTCCATTAATTTTTGATATTTTTTAGAAATGCTTTATTGATTGAATATATCTTTGTTTTACTGAATAACAGGTTATTTAGTTTCAGGTCTTTCTTACTTGATTTTTAATAAGATTGATAAGGCATTAGCAGATATATTTTGTGAATTTTCTTTAGTTTCGATTAATTTGCTATTCTAACGTGCATGAGTTTTTTTGAGTAATACACTGCTAACATCTTTAAAATCTTTTCCGCTAGTTGGTCTTGATTTTTTAGCTTCTATTTTAGAATTGCCAATTCCATTCCTATTGCTTGGAACTAGATATCTAAATAATAAAATGATGTGTATACTTATTAGGATTTACAATTGGTGATTTTAGACGAGCTTATTATTCTTAATCACTTTTCTTTTTGAGAAGTGAAGCATATAATTTATCAGGAGATATTTAAGAGGCTTTAGCTTTCATGCAAAAAATAGTTGTTAATTATTAAATTATTAATATTTTATATATTTTTACTTGATCATATATTTTCATCTTCCAATTCTCCTTACAAACTATCTACCATCTATTCAATTTATCTCTATAATTTTTCAGTTGTTAATTCACTTTATCCTGGAGTCTTCTCATATGCACTTTTTAAATCCCAAGTAGGTGCTACATCCATTTATGGAGTTTAATCTTATTAAAATCTCCTTTCAAATTGTATCATTTCTAATAATATCTATTCTTCAGGCAATAATTATAATGGTTGACCATTTTCATCTAATAAATCAATTTATCAATAGCTCTCACATATTCCAAATTTTCATCTTAAGGTAATTCAACCATAGGAGCACTTGGAGAATCTTCAAATATAACTTATTATCCCATATCTAGTGATGAACCATCATTTGTGAATAAATCAGCAAAATTTGTATCTTTCTTTTGAGTTTAATCCAAAGTCTCTTCTACATATATTTCATTATCTTTAAGTTAAATTAATGATTTTTGTGATTTAGATTTTTTAATTGCATTTAATACAGCATTTCTTTCTTTTGTTTCTGTTTTCTTGATATTTTTTTAGTTCACAAAATCATTTTTGGTTTCTTCTATTACTGATATCACTCCAATATTTCCACTAAGATCTTATGATTCTCCAAAAAATGAAGAACTAGGTTAAAATACACCTATCCTTATTCTAGTTCAACCAGTTACTTAACTTCTTTATTTTTCTATTGTTATCTCATATTTGTTGCATTTGTCAATGCTAATATCAGTAAAAGAATTGCTATATATTTCATCTATTTTTATAATTATCAATCCGTTTTGATAAAAATATATTAAAAATTGAATAATAATTTTTTATTAAATTTTGTTACCATTTTATTCTCTGAATTTATTTTATTATAAAAAATATGTGATATTAGAAATTATAAAATAAAATGTAAAATTAAGATTAAGAATATTTACTCAATCATGTAAATCCAATTTTAGAATAATTGGCACTCTATTTAGTTAAAGAAAAGCCTGATAATGTGGTAATTCTTATTCATTGATAATTTAATTAGACCCAAGCATCAATTGAATGGTTAAGCGTAACAGGAGGTATTCTTATTATGAATCATTTCAATAGCTCAAATTGAAAATGGATTACATCATAACTAACATTTTCATAATGACACTGTTGAATCATCTGATGATACAGAATCTGATGAAGATGATTATGAATTATATGCCAATAATCCCATTAGACCAGATAGAGCAAGTGTTAGTGCAGAAGTTTATGGAATTTATAATAAAAAAACTAATTTCAAACCTAAAATTGTTGCAAAATCTCACTTACAAATTTAGAAAATCAAAGAAAAATTAGCTTAATCATTTATGTTTTCAGAATTAGATGAACATGATTTGAGAATAGTCATTAATGCTATGGAAGTTATCTAATGTAAAAAGGGAGACATAATAATCAAATAAGGAGATGATGGTGATAATTTATATATTGTTGATGAAGGAACATTAGATTGTTCAAAACTTAAAGCAGGCTAAGATTCAATTCATCTTAAAACCTATAAACCAGGTGAATCATTTGGTGAATTAGCCCTCTTATATAATTCACCTAGAGCAGCTACTATAGTTGCAGAAGAGAATTGTGTCCTATTCTCTTTAGATAGAGGAACATTCAACCATATTGTTAAAGATGCTGCCATCAGAAAGAGAGAAAGATATGAATACTTTTTAGCTCATGTTGAATTACTTTAAGAATTAGATCCATACAGTAGATCACAAATTGCAGATGCTCTAAAAAGCAAAAATTTTAATATTGGTGATTATATTGTTAAAGAAGGAGATGAAGGAGATATTTTTTATTTCCTTGAAAAAGGTGAAGCAGTAGCTACCAAAGTCTTAAATCAAAGTAACTAATTAAAAAATATACTTTAGGTTAACCTGCTTAAGTAGTATATTTTTATAAGGAAGGTGATTATTTTGGTGAAATTGCCTTACTAAGATAAGCTCCAAGAGCTGCCTCTGTTATAGCTGAAGTAATACTTATTAATATTAAAAAATAGACTCCATGTACTGTTGTTTATTTGGATAGAGAAACATTCAAGAGATTATTAGGACCTCTTGAAGATATACTCACTCGTAATTTTAAGAAGTACGAAAAATATATGAATTGAGATTATAAAATATCTATTTATATTAGAATAGTAAATTTTATAATTAAATCAATATATGCATCATACATTAGGTTATATAAATAAATTATTGAAATCTTATCAATCAATAATAAATTGATTCTACTAATTATATTATATATCTTCTCTAAAACGAAAAAAACATACATATATTTAAATAATTGATTTAATATATCATGATCAAATGATCATTACTTAAAAGAATAAATGATTTATAATTAAAAAATTTAAGTAGAAATTATATAGTTCCATAATGTAAATTATAAAATTAATGATTGTAAGTTCTTAAATAGAAGATTAATAACATGAAATTTTATAAGATTACTCAAAAAATTAGATTATATATCTATGGTTGCAATAGTATGTTAATATTTAATTTTATCATTTCTAAAATAATTATGTCTAAAAATATTCATTATTTTCTTTAACTTTTATTAAATCATCTAATTTAATAGAGGTTTCTATATATCAACAAATTTATGTTAATTTTTCAAAAATAATTGATTTTCAACTTTTTCATATTCTTTATTTTATATATCATTATTATATAATAGTAGTATTACTTCAATATTATTAGTTCTAAATTTTAGGATAATCATAATTTAATAAACATAAATCTCTTTAAATATTGATACTCAATTACTAGTAATAAAATTATAAATACAATTTTATTTATTCTAATATCTCTATAATTATCATATTCAATATTAATGCTTCTATAAATGAAATATATTATCATAGCAATGATTTTCATGATCAGAATACTAGAATATAATTTTATGTCAAATTTAATTATTAATTATTTGTTAACTTTATGAATTTATCTGCCAGATCCTATATGCCAACATAAAAATCTATTTCACCATTAATTGATCGAACTACTAAAAAGCGAACTCTTACAATTTAAGAGCTTACCAAGTCTTCAAAGAGCACAAATAAGATTATTACATAAAAATCCACTTAATAAAAATTGACATCCAATAGTTCTCAAGAAACTTCAGAAACTTGTTTTACTATGAATGACTCTACATAAGACAACACAAGATTATAATAATTGAAAATTAAAGTTTTAACGTACACATTTATATCTCATAAAGCATAGAGAAAAAGTCTAACAGATTGAATAATTTGATCTCTACAAAACTACACTCTTGCTTAAAGAACTACAATACTATCGTACTTAGTCTCTTAATAGTTCAAATACTTCGGTAATGGCTGCTTTGGCCTTAGCACGTATCTGATATTATAAATTACTTTATAGATACTAATATTATTCATTCATAACTCCTCAACATTTTTACTTTAAAATTACTTGTTTTTATGAATATATTATCAATGATAATAAGATTCATAATAAAATAGGAGTGATTTTATTATAATTTATTCAAATAACTGAATTAATTATAATATATAAATTTGAGTGATTTACATATAAATAAATACTTGCCAAGATTTAGAAAATGAAAAGAAATTTTAATTATTTAAATGATTAATATTTTGATAATAATATTTGTATATATCAATATTATTTTTCAATTTCCTATTTAGATTTTCTTAGGATTTATAAGGAATGCTAAATTAAGAGATTGAAATATTTATAGATCTAATCTGCCCATAATAAAGATAGGTAATTTTTTAAGTTTGATTTTTTTAATAATTGTCGACAATCATATTTTTATAATACAAATATACTCTTATTTCCTCTAAAAAGTCTTTATAGTCTTAATTAATTATTCTTTTTCTACTCAAGTAGATTATTTATAAATTAAATCCTGGCTATTATTAAGTTACAGATAATTTTTTGGATGATTTTTAATTATATAATAAATTTTAAGATTCAGAGAATAATTCACTCTTTTTCTGAATAATAGTCTTGTAATTATAAAATTATATTATAATCTTAATTTTTATTTAGTATTTCCCAAATTGCATAATAGCCTTTCAAATTGTTTTGTCTCAAAATGAATTTCAATAAATTAAATTAAAAGGTGAATGACATATTTAAATTTAGGTTTATAATAAGAAATTATATTTACTAATATTAATTTAATAAAATTATACTTAAACCTATTATTATTATATATATATTAAGGATAATAATTTAAATAATTTAAATAATTTTTAGTTCTATTAAAAATAAAAAGAATATTTATAATCTAAATCAAAAAGAGATATTATAACGATCTGATTAAGCTTCAATTTTCTATTAACCTATTTTTTATTAAAATGCTTAATAGTGTTATCTGCATAGTTATAGAATATTTTTTGGATTTAATTCCATTTATTCTACTTTCTCTCTATAATACAAATCTTTGTAATAGTTATCCTCAATTTATTAGAAACAATTTCTTGTAATTTCATCAACTTATGATAAATTTGGAATAAAAAGTGTAATTCCTGGTTCTATTCTTTTAACTCTTTCCTTAAAATTTCTCAATATATCAATTTCTTCATTTTCTACTTTAATACTTATATTTATGTTTTATTATTTTTTTTCATTAATTTCATTTTATTCATGATGATCATTATTCTTTTTTATTTTTTTCTTTAATCCTGTTTCTATTGAACAGAAATCTTGTTTACAAAATTTTTCAAGTTCAAATTAAAATTATATCATTTCATCTGACATTTTACATTATAAATCTTTAATTTTTTCTAAAAGTGTTCTTAATTTATGATAATGGAGTTGATTTACAGGTATTAATGGTTTTTATTCATTACATAGTTGGATTTAGATAAGAATCTGTTTTGATTCGCTAACAAAGTCTTATCCTTTTGACCATTTCTTTTATTTTACAGTTTCAATATTATTAATTACTGATTTATCCTTTTCATCAGATTCTATTTGTGGTGTATCATTTGTTTCATTATCAATACTAGTTTGTAACATTTGACCTTAAGTATTTTTAGATTCTTTGTAAAAGCTAGAGAATTCGAAGTCATTTTGAATTCTTTTTTGAAACTCTATCAAAATAGACTGTTAGAATTTATGTTCAACATGTTTTAAACTTTCTATTAAGTGTTTTTTTAAGTCTTCTCTCACATTTTGAGGTAGATATGTTAAATGTTTCCACACACCTTAATTTGGATATGACTAAAGTGTTGCTCTTCTATTAGCTGTTCCTGGTTTGATTGATACACAAGTTGACAAAAGGTGATATGGTAAATTATTATCATTAAAAAACTTTCTCATTGAATTTAATGCCCATTTCATGAATAATTTCTTCTTTCCATCACAATCATGTAAATCTTTAATAGATTAATTTAACATTTTTTTTATTATTATTTGATTAATATTTAAAAACTATCTTAAATTCAAATTGTAATTCTATCAGTGTTTAATTCTATCAACTTTAATCTAATAAAATAACATTCTAAGACATTAGTTGATTATTACTAGATTTAATTTTAAACTGAAATTTTGTTCATTTTTTTTTAATACTTAATATCTATAATAACTAATTAAAGAATCTATTTTATGAGTATTATCCATTCCAATCTAAATTCTATAAATAAATATTTTAACTTTCTACATTTTCAATTTCTTATAAACTACTTATCCTTATAAGAGTTACTTAAAGAGAAATCAAGTAAAAAGAAATATATATTTATAAATGTAACTCAATAAAGAATTATTAGGAAGAATTTCTTATTTTTTACAGTTGATATAAAAAATTCAGTTGTTTATAAAAACAAATATGTCGTAATTCTATCAAATAAATATTTTCCTATTTAATTATTAAAAACTATTAGTTCTTATTTATGTTTAATGAATAATATCAAAGAACCTATATTTACTTTAAATTATGTATTCATTGTTCACCTATTTCAATTATGATAATTTTTTAGATAATCATTATTAACAATTTTTCAATTTTATTCTCAATAATATACCAACTAATTATTTAACTAATATTCCTCATCTTCATATGGGTTTCATGAATATCTAAAAAAAATAAACAAATAATAATTCAAAAAAAGAATATAAAATAGATTTATTCAAATTAATAAGTAAAATTGCATTTTTCAACATAGGAATTTATAAGTATATATATATATAAATGAATTAGAGATATATAATTGAATGTTCCTATTTTAATAATAATTATCATAAATTCCATGATTTCTTTAAAATTGCTTCAAAAGTCTCATCTTATTGTATAGCTGAGGATACATCCTATATTATATATTATTAAAAATTACTTAATAAAATTCACCAAATTCTTAAAATGATATTACTTTGTCTGGTTATGCCTTATTCCAATGAGATACAAATTCTTAAAATACTTATCTTTCTGTTTTATATCCCTTAAGTACATCAGGATGTTCTTTAACATTAATAGTTCTACCCATGGTATCCAAAGTAACTTTGCCTGCTCTTTATTCAATAGATGCATATGCTCTTTAAACAAAGTAAAGTCTTTTATCACTCATTTGTAACTAATTATAAATTGAAATATTTTTACTCTAAAAGCATCCAAGAATTCGTTAAATTCTATCTTTCCATTATTATTTTTATCAAATGTTTAAAATATCATTTTAGTTTCATCTTCAGATAGATTGAGTCCAAAATTTCTTAATCCCCATTTAAAATCATCATATTCAACTACTCCATCTATTTTATTATGTAAAATAATTTACTATTATTTTAATCCATTTCAAAAAAGATTTTAGCCAATCCTCTCAATCCATAAGAACCTTTACCTGTAATTTATTATTTAACTCTAATCATTAAATTTTTAACATTTCTATTATCATCCATAACTGATTCATCAAATTATTCATTTTATTTAGTTGCTACAATAAATTTCCATAAATTCTAAGGTCTATTAATATTTATATTTAATACTCTTAATTTCTTAAAGGAATATCAATTGTTGTTCTACCCTCTTTTTCTGCTATCAAATTTTATGTTTTATTTAAACATTAATAAGAATGAACAAAAACTTCACGTTCTCTACCAAAATCGTTTTAATATACTATATCATCACTTGCTAACCAATGTTATGTAAATGAATGTTTAACAAGAACAACATCATCAATTCTAATAGGTTATCCTTCCATCTCAAATCTAATTTTAGGATCTGAATGCTCTAATTTCCATACAGTATTAAAAACATCGCTTTCTATGGCACAAACTTCTTATTTTCTTGATATTTTTGCACATCTAGTAGGTGTCTAAGGAAGTGAATGGAGATAAAAGGTTTTATTATTTGATATTCTTGGATTTGCAAGAATTCTAAAATGTTATCCATAATGCAAAATATCATCACCAAAGAAATTAGGTTCTTTAGTATAAGGTACAACTACAAATACAGATCTTACTGTTGGTTATGTTGTTGGGGCTGTTGTAACATTGTATGCTTCTTCATTTATTTTTAATTTTTCTTAGATGTCTATTGATAAACAGCCTTATGTTTTTAGATTTTAAAGCATAATATGGAATCCGAAATGAATGTATTCGTCTTTTGGATAAGTAAGTGATGCTAGTCTAAGACTAAAGTTAGTTTTTTAATCCTTGACAATGCTTGCCAGTTACCCATTTTATCTATTTTTCAAATAGTCTTTTTTCCTAATAAATTCATGAACAAATTCTCACTTGGTCTCATCTAATTCCCACTCTTCAAACCAATTACCGATGCGAGTCTAGAACTTGTATTTGTGATCGACGTTGTAATTGTGCATTTAATTTTTAATAAATTATTATTGAATTAAGAAATTAATTATAACTAATTATTTTATCAATCTTTAAATCTCAAATCAACTTTTATTCCATCTAATAAATTTTAGTTAAATGGTTTAAGTTATTAAAGATTAATATATGTATAATATTATTATTTTATCCATATATGCTTAATCTTCTTTTAATTATAATTACTTAATAAAATCAAAATTTAATTTTTCATAATAATATATGTATAAGTTTATAATCTATTTTGAGAAAATGTTTGTGAGAAGCAATTTATTTAATTCATTTATTAATGATTACTTACTTAAATTTAATAAATAATCTTTAGTTATTAATAGCAATCTTCATTTAATTATTTGTAATTCAATCAATTATTTAAGACTTATTATATTTAATAATTTCTAATCTTAATATTTAAGGTTAATAAAATTTAAATTGAAGATTAACATATTATTGATTTAAAATAACATTAGATTTTTTATTTAATTAGTTATATGCTGATGAAGATATACTTAATTGTGGAATATTTGATGGAATCTAATAAATTATATTAAGATATTTTTTTGAGAAAGCTATTGAATTTTTCTATTGAATTTCTAAGATATAATTTATAATTTAATTTAGTCATCTAAAGTTTCTGAAATTTTTATATCTTGTATATGAACATTATATGTAAAATGATTGTTACATTTTTAAATATAGAGAGTTGCTGATTGATTATATAAGTGTTTTATTAAATTAAAAAAATTTAATAGTTTTTTTAAGATGGATATTCAAATTTATATTTGGATTGAAGGAGATTTGATTATGAAACATCTTATGAAATATTTTCAGATACAATTTTATGGATAAATAAAAAATTAAAAATAATTAATTATATCACTTGAGGTATTCAATCAAAATTATTAGATGAATTTAAATTAAAAAATTTAAAGAATATTAGATGAACAGATATATATTTTGAAAATTAATATTTATAGGTGTTGATGAAAGCTTTGTCACTTCTTTTTAAGTGCACGCACGGCTTTTTCAACCCCTCATTACTGCAGCTACCAGTTTGAAGGGTCAAATTCACTACTTTTTATGCTACTAGTTACAAGAGTCATTTGGATCATATTATTCATAAGCATTTTTCATAATTCCATCACAGTGATTATTGGTATTATTAATTTAATTATTGTTGTTATTTTAATTGATATTATTATTATTTATATTCTATGTTACATCCACATCAATTACATTGTTTAAACTAATCTGAGATGCTAAAATTAAAAAATAACAAACATATATATTATGTTGATGACAACGAAATAAAACTATTATCTGGATTGATAATAGGTTCTGGCCTAGGCTCTAAATCTGAATTCTCATTATCTAAATGCTTGTTGCCTTTTACTCCATAATATTAACCTTCATAATCAGGATAATATTTAAATTAGTTTAATTAAGTTGTTCCAACTAATGACATTTCTTAAATGTAATTTCCTACTCCTCTTCTTCTACGTATTTGATTTCTTATCAGTTTGCGAAGTTTTCGTTTTAGGATTCTAAGTTTTTTGGATTTACTAAAAAAATTAAATTTTTCTAGATTTATTACTTGAATACAACAGACTCTTAAACTGTTTCGATCAACATACTAGTAGTGTTATAATTGGCTTCAAACATTTAAGCAAATATTTCTTTTTATGCTTCCAATTCTTATAATTCTAATTCTTCATCGTAGCAGTGTTAGATTTACTATAATGAAGATTATGAAATTGATGTAGACATACTAATTGATGAGTTGGAGAATGACATTTGATTTATGATTTTTTTTGTTTTAATTAATATTCCAAATATTATATATAATAACTCAAAAACACAATACAATATTTTAGATAGTAATCAAATTAATCTCTTCATCAAAAACAATTGCAAAAAATAAATTGAATAAGCTATATTTCAGATTAAAATTAAATATATACAATTTTAAATATCAAAGTAGAATGTAATATAAGGGATTATCTAATAGTTCTACTAACTAATTACAATTAAATAGCTTAATTGGATAATGCTATTATCAATATATTCACTTTTTATAGTGAAAAAGCATAAGATCCCTGATGCATAGACGACATTTTAGTTAATGAAAATTTCCATCATTCTATATGCTTTATATCAATTCTTATTTCCTTTTTTAAAAAATATAATGATTCTCATTAAATAATATTTCATTATAATTTTATTGATGATAACAATGTAAAATTATCAACTAAACTATTTAATTTGATTATAATTTATTAATATAATATATATGCAATTAATAAAACTATCATTTTTTAAATTAAGTCAAATTTCTAATTCATGGTAATGATTCAATATACATTGTAGTTTTTTCTATAATTGAGGTACTTTAACATAATATTCACTCAACAATTCTTTAACCTTTTCTAATTTCGTAAAAAAATTTGGAGCGTTCCTTTCTACTAGTACATCCATTCCTAACCTTAATCTAATAAGATTTTTCGATTTTTAAAAAAGTTCATTATCAATTTTCGATTTATAAATGGCATCAGTTATTTTTTAACTGTTTATTTATAAGAAATCTTTAGTATTTATTTTTTTCTTCAATGTATCCTAATTTTAAATACAATAAAATAACTCCATTAGGCTATTTTTTTATTCTTTAGTTTTATATAAAAATTCATTTTATGTTAAACTTAAATTAAAATTATTTTATATTGTGTTAATTTATTTTTCAATTCTAAAAACTTGAATTTAATAATGAAAATTTGCATTATTTTGAAATTCTTGATTAAACTTCTTACAAACATATCTTGTATTCATGATATCCTCCATTGAGCAATATGATAGTATAACTTTAAAGAATAAATTTCCTAATTTTGAAATCTTTTCTAATTGACTTTATTTTGATTTTATTTTTATGAGTAAATTATTCAAAAATCTTTATTATTTTTAAATTGTTAGAATTATTTTATCTCTCTTATAGGCATCACAAATTACTTTATAATCTGGTCGTGTAGAAAATTCACATAGATTCTTTACATATTTTATAAAAATATTGAATTCTCTAAAATTTATCAATTTATTTTAATTAATTTTTGTAGGAATATTGATCTTTTTGATTCTTCTTTAATTTTCTATAGATATATGTTTCTTAATCAATCTTATTTCCTTCTCATTTAATGCATACCAATTCAAAGGTTACTTCTGAATGCAGATGTTAACAATTTATAAGATATCGTATTTTGTTTAATATTGATTTTTCTTATCACCTTAAGGTTTTGATAATGTATATAAATCAGCAAGTAAGGTTAATGATAATAAAAGTTAATCGGGAATTAGATTTAAACAACCACCTTATGATAATAATTTCCTCAATGGCTTTTAAACATGAATTAAATTAGGAATTACAGGTAGTTAAAAGTCTCGAATATTTAGAGTTTATATATATTTCATTCTTGATATTTTATCATAGAATAAAAATTCTAGATTAGTTTCTATTAAATGATTTGTATAAATGCTTACAAGCCTTAATTATTTGATGTCTTGAGTAGTTAAAAATTTCATAATATTTCTGAATACAATCTTAAAGACAAATCTTGTGAAAAGATTCTTCTCTTTTAATAGTTTTTATTATTTTTTTTAAATTGATGTTAATACAGTTTTTTTTGGATTAAGATTTTCTTTGGAAATATTTTTTGTCATTTTAAAATTTTAGAATTTCTAAAATAAATCTTAAAATGTATTTAAAGCTTTTCTTATTTTATTTGATGTATTTTATTATATTTTTAATTATTTTTGTTTTATGCTGATATTATCTTTTAAATTATTTTTTGTGAGTTTAAAATTTTAGTATTATTAAAATACTAATTAAAATGTATTTAAAGCTGTTTTTATTTTATTTTATGTGTTTTGTTATTATTTTATTAATTCTTTTTGTGTTATGTTAATATTATCTTTTAAATTATTTTTTTTCTATTTAAAATTTTAGAATTACTAAAACACATCTTAAAATGTATTTAAAGCTGTTCTCATATTTTCTTATGTATTCTATTATTATATTGTTAATTTTTTTTGTGGTGAGTTCATATTATCTTTTAAAATATTTGTTTTTGATTTAAAATTTTAGATTTATTAAAATAGATCTTAAAATGTATTTAAAGCTGTTCTTATATTTTTTTGTGTTATTTATTATTTTTGTCTTAGTTCTATTTGAAAATGCTATAAAAAGATATTATCTTAATTCATTTATTTTTATAATTAAAAGTTATATCAATATATTTATAAAGGAGGTTCAAATTCTGATGAAATCTATCAGTTGGAACAAGTATTTCATTTCATTGATTAATGGGAAATAACCATAAATCGAGAAGGTAACATTGAAATTTAACAATCATATCAAATGTCATTTTCAATTATTAAATGAATTATGCTATTTAAAAAGTTTTAATAGTCTTTTATATTTTTTTAATCCTAAAACTCCATTTAAAGTAGAGCAATTGAATTTTTAGAACAATTATTTAATTATGAAATAGAAAAATGATGATAATACATAGTCCTTAACATATTTTGCCAAAGGAATGGCCAAATAAATGAGTATCCTTTAATGAATTAGATTATAATATATATTGAATTAACAAGATTTTGTATAGAAAAAGGCAGAATTAAATTTTTAAAGTGAACAATTCTATCTAAATATTCATTAAAAAGATATGAACCCTTTTTAATTGACTTGATATGGTAATATCAACTCACAAACAATTAATTATTTTTGCTACAAATCATAAATCATAAATCATATGGGTTTATGTACATCAAAAAAACACAACTATCCTCTTTAGAGAAGCTAACCGTAAAGAAATATTGAAATCGACTTTGTCAAATTGTTAGAGTATAATCGTAAAAAGGAAGTCAAGGATAATAAGAACAATTAACAACAACAATCATTCTGTTAGATCTTTTTATAAGAAAATAAAACTTCTAATCCTCAAACTTTAACATAAAACTTAGCTCCAACTGCTTAGTTAGACTACAAGAAAATATGATTCTATTCATATTTAATCCTTGAAGCTCTATGAGTAATGAATATGTTTAATAAACTGAATTATTAATAACATAATAATTGTTCTCTCTTCTCTATAAATACTTCTAAATACTCACTAAGTTTCATATTTACTGTATTTAATTTGAAAAAATCCAAATTAATCAAAAAATAATATATATAATCAATAGAAATCAAGGAATTGTTCTAAGTTCTTAATTTGCATCACAACTTGAATGTAAAAACTCAAGCTCTCAACACTTATTAAGAATAGTTTCAACAAAATTTTATTTTTATTTCAAGTCTCTTTTTTTGTCAATATTAAATAATAAAGTAAATCTCAGTTCTAGAATTTTCATTAATTGAGAATATAAAGTATAATTGTCAAATTTATCAAGTTCTCTTGCTTAAATATTTCAACATATTATTAGTTAGGAGGGTAAAATATAGTAGTTTATAATATTGATAATTATAAACAACTATTATTATTATCTCATCATAGCCTTAAATTGATGTTACTCTTATTTATTGTATTTATTATTATATAATGTGTCGTTTTCAATGATGATCTTTTATTATTTTAATTTCATCATATATTTTGAGTATATTTTACTCTATTACAATATGATTAGTCTTTTCTATTACATTATTACGCTTGAGTTGAATATATAAAAACAACTTTAACATTTAAATTAATTCAAGTAATCTTTAGTAATTACTATTCCATACATTAATTTTTATTTATATTTTTAGCTATCATTAATAGAAAGTAATTTTTAATCTAGCTATTAAAATGAGACACTAAATTCATAATTATTATGTTTATATGATCATGGTGTGAAAATAGGATTATTTTCTTTTTGAATACTGAATAAAAAATTATAATTATATGTTCTTTTGGTTATTTGACTTCATTTTGATTATCGTTTTTTATCAGAATAATATTTATATTAATCGTTTTTAATAGCATTAATTCATATATAAAACGATATTTTGAGTATGAAATAGACATATAATTAGTAAAATTTTAAAAATAATCATCATAAGTAATATATGCACATACTTTTTTTATTTTCTGCAATTTTGAATAAGTCTATAATCCATTGTAAATATAAATAAATTGATTTATTATGTTTTATGAAAGAAATAAATAATTTTTTATTTTTTAATTAGAACATGATGAATTAGAAGAAGTACAACAAATTATTGATTAATTTTCTTTACGTATTTATTCATGATAATGTATATTTCACCATTCAAGGAAGGGATCATCAGCTGGTTTAAGAGCAGGACTCTAGGTATCAGATTCTGGATAGGATGAGAAATTAGACGTATCATTTGCAGCTCTATTGTGAAATTATAAAATAATTACTTTACAACAGGTTTATAGGGAACTGGTAATTTCTTTTGGGTAAGCAAATTCCAATCCAGATTTCCAAACCATCTATGATTCTTAATATCAGCAGCTCCTATAAATTATATAAGAGAATAGGATTACCATTTTTTAAGTTTCCATATCTTTTTGATAAATCTGCAACTAATAAATGTTTGACTAAGGATTTAGCATTTCTACAATAGGAAAAAAGATATTTACTTATCGAAAGACTTTGGAAATTTAACTTTGCCCTTAAGAATTTTTTAATAAATTGCCATAGGATCTTCATCAGAGAAAGGATCGATTCCTGCATTCATTTCATATATTAATATTCCCAAAGTCCACCAATCAACAGCTTTACCATGTCCTTTATTCAATAAGATTTCTGGAGCCAAGTATTCTGGTGTACCACATAATGTATAAGTTCTTCCTTCAACTACTTTAGCAAATCCAAAATCGGTTAATTTTAAATATCCATCATCAGCAATCAATAAATTTTCTGGTTTCAAATCTCTATAGATAATATTTTTAGAATGAAGATATTCAAAAATGGACGCAACTTATGAAGCATAAAAACTATAAAAAATTTAATATAATATTTTTACCCAGCATGTGAAGTATCGAGTCTTCCAATACTTCTTAAATAAGTAAATAATTCACCACCTGATACAAACTCTAAGACTAAATATAAGTATCTTGGATCTTAACAAAATCCTTCAAAATTGACCTATTAAATACTAATCTATCAATTTACAATAAAAGGATGGGATAAGTTACCCAATATAGTATTTTCATTAATAACATGATCAACTTATTTTAATCTAATGATTTCAGCTTTCTTTAAACTTTTCAAAGCAACATATTTATTTGTTTATTTGTTTCTTGCCAATTTAACTCTTCCAAATGATCCTAAAGATATGAATTTCAATTCAATACCTGTTCCAAGTGTTTGAAACACTTCATAATCAGTCAATTTCAACTTCTTTGGTTTTGTCAACCCTGTACTCATCTTTCTTAAGATTTATGAAATAAATAAAATATATAGATATAAATTAAAAGTATATGCATAAGAACTCTATCCAAAAATCAATATTATGAATACAACACTTAATATATCCACATTTTATCAGAATATATAATGATTAATACAATTTTTTTAAATATTTGAAAATACAGTTTTCTAAAATAGAATCAATAATTATTATTGATAGTATAGAATATCTAAAAAGATATTTATATATAAATATTAAATATTTATACATTCTTAAATTTAACAAATATCATCCATCTCTTTAATCTCCAAAAGTTTCTTGAGGTTCTTCTTCCCCTCCTTAACGTCCTGATTATTATTATTTCTTTTTTATTCCAGAAACAACATCATCTATTCTTAATAACATGCATGCTGATTCAATAGCTGTCTTAAAAACTTATCTAAATTAAATAACTCTATCTAACTTACTTTTTTACTGAAAGGGGTTCCCAAACATTAATATCATTCATCTTGGCAATTTTTCCAGTATTTCCATCAACTCCAAAATAAAGTCCTCCAGTTTCACTATGTTTTGCTCTCAATTCAGTCAATACTCTAACAGTGTCAGCTCCACAATTAGCTGAAAGAGTTCTTGGAATTATTTCTAAGGCATAAGCAACTAGAATATGATTAATTAAATATACCTGCTTTATAAGGTAATTAACCTAATCCTTCTACTTTATTAGCCTTTTCTAACAATCTAGCACTAACTTCCATTTCAACAGCTCCACCTCCTGGCACCAATTTTGGATCCTAATATATGTTCTTAGCCACAGCTAAACAATCATGTAAATTTCTTTCCTATTTAATTAATACATTATATAAGATACCATTTCATTTAGAACATCTTTTGAAGCTCCTCTCAATATGATAGAACAAGCAGTAGGATTTTGACAATCAACAAAGAAAGCAAAATAATCATCTCCTATTTTTTTAACTTCAAATGTTCCACATAATGTACCAATATCAGTTTCTTATATTTCTTCTGGTCTATTAACTATTGTTGCTCCAGATACTCTTGCTATTCTAGTATTATCTGTTTTTCTGACTCTTCTAATTACAGAAACATTTCCTTTTAATAAGAAATGTTATGCTAAATCAGATACTCCTTTTTCTGTAATAACAATATCAGGTTTATGTTTTAAAATATCATTACACATTAATGCAACTTCATTAATTTCTTATTAAAGTGCATCAGTCATATCTGATTCTTTTGTCATTTCCATATTAGTCATAGATTCTCCCTTTTTGTATTCTAATGTACAATCTAATAAAATTATTCTTGGATTTTTAATTTCTCTTCTCATTCTTGGATGAGTAACATCTTTATTAATCATAACTCCTTCAAGAACACAACTTTCTTCAAGAGTTCCACCAGGAATTTTCTCTACTTTTGCATATCTCTTGATTTCCAAATTCAATTTATTAACATTNCTTAAAAGAATGTTTGTATATAAAAATCTTATATAATTATTGGATTTGTAAATATAAGATATTTATACATCCTTAATAATATTTAACAAATATCAACCATCTCTTTAATCTCCAAATGTTTCTTGAGGTTCTTCCTCTCCTTAACGTCCTGATTGTTATTATTTCTTTTTTATTCCAGAAACAACATCATCAATTCTTAATAACATACATGCAGATTCAATGGCAGTTTTAAAAACTTATCTATATTAAATAGCACTATTTAACTTACTTTTTAACTGAAAGTGGTTCCCAAACATTAATATCATTCATTTTGGCAATCTTTCCAGTATTTCCATCAACTCCAAAATAAAGTCCACCAGTTTCACTGTGTTTTGCTCTTAATTCAGTCAACACTCTAACAGTGTCAGCTCCACAATTAGCTGAAAGTGTTCTTGGAATGATTTCTAAGGCATAGGCAACTAAAATATGATTAATTAAATATACCTGCTTTATAAGGTAATTAACCTAATCCTTCTACTCTATTAGCTTTCTCTAATAATCTAGCACTAACTTCCATTTCAACAGCTCCACCTCCTGGTAATAATTTTGGATCTTAATATATATTCTTAGCCACTGCTAAACAATCATGTAAATTTCTTTCCTATATAATTAATACATTATATAATATACCATTTCATTTAGAACATCTTTTGAAGCTCCTCTCAATATGATAGAACAAGCAGTAGGATTTTAACAATCAACAAAGAAAGCAAAATAATCATCTCCTATTTTTTTAACTTCAAATGTTCCACATAATGTACCAATATCAGTTTCTTATATTTCTTCTGGTCTATTAACTATTGTTGCTCCAGATACTCTTGCTATTCTAGTATTATCTGTTTTTCTGACTCTTCTAATTACAGAAACATTTCCTTTTAATAAGAAATGTTATGCTAAATCAGATACTCCTTTTTCTGTAATAACAATATCAGGTTTATGTTTTAAAATATCATTACACATTAATGCAACTTCATTAATTTCTTATTAAAGTGCATCAGTCATATCTGATTCTTTTGTCATTTCCATATTAGTCATAGATTCTCCCTTTTTGTATTCTAATGTACAATCTAATAAAATTATTCTTGGATTTTTAATTTCTCTTCTCATTCTTGGATGAGTAACATCTTTATTAATCATAACTCCTTCAAGAACACAACTTTCTTCAAGAGTTCCACCAGGAATTTTCTCTACTTTTGCATATCTCTTGATTTCCAAATTCAATTTATTAACATTTCCACCTCTTAAAACAATTCTTGTAGCTTATAAAGAAAGATCACTTATTAATGTTCCCCATCTGAATGCAAATTTAGTACCTATACAAGATTACAAAGCTTTCATAACTTCTTCTTTTTTTTCAGTGTCAATTTATTATGCAATTTCATCCAATATTGTAAGTGAATCTTCTAAAGCCTTAAAATAACCATTAACAATTTCAGTAGGATGAATATTCTTTTCTATAAATGGTCTAGCTGCAACCATCATTTCACCTGCCAAAATTATAACTGATGTTGTTCCATCTCCAACTTCTTCATCTTAAGCCTTTAAATTATAAAAAATTAATAATACTCTTGCTAATTCAATCATACTCTTAGCTGCTGGATGTTGAACATCAATTTCCCTTAGAATAGCATTTCCATCATTTGTCATTACTATTCCTCCCATTGGATCTAATAACATTTTTAACATCGAACGAGGACCAAGAGTAGTTAGGACTATATCTGATACAGCCTTAGCTGCTTATATATTTCCCAATTAAGCCTTTCTTCCTTATTCTCTTTTTGTATTAGCATTCACAACAATCACTGGAGCTCCTTACATATATTTATATATAAAAACTTTTAATGGATTTTATTATTTTCTTTTATATTTATTAATGTTTATATTCATTAATATATTATAAATCATTATCAATTTAAAAAAAATAATAAATTCAATTTTATTAGATCTGCATTAATAAGTCTTATTCATATCATTTAATATATTTAAAATAGGATTTTTTGATCCATTTTAAAATATCTATAAGTTTATAGAATTAGAAATAATATATAAAAATAGAATACTCCCTCTAAAATATTATACTAATCATAGTTGAATTAATTATTGTTCATTTACTTTTAGATATTCTTTATTTCCAATCATTATATTACTATTATAATAACAATAGAAATAATTTTAAAAATATAATTAATTTATTATGTATATATAATTTATATACAATTTATTTTATTAATAAAGGACTTATTCTATTTTGAACTCTATAAATATTGATAAAAATTATGCTTCAAATGATTAAATGCATTTTAATAACTTCAACAATGTACATCACATATGCAGAAATGATTTACCCCATATTAAATAAAGCTTATAAAACATAATGGGAAGATAATGTATGGATAAATTGTGAAACCAAATCTGATATATAACCTAAAAAATGTTATGAAGGAGAATTAGATTGGTAAGAATGTTATGAAGTTCCAAAAGAAGGTATTTGTTTAGCTAACTATATCACAACAACATAATAAGATTTATTATAATTTAATATTACTTTCAACACTTCAGCTTATAATAATACTAATCAAGGATAAATAGTAGAAATTGAAATAAATAAGAATAGTTTATAATTGTAATTACTAAATTATTCAATATTGGAAAAAGTAAAGATTGATTCAAATATTATAAGCTTAAAGATTTTAACTTCAGGTTTAGTATTATCTGATTTATCCATATATACTCCTAATAATATCACTCACTCTTAAAATGAATTATCTGTTTGTTTAGATGAATATTTTCTATTCAATTACAAATGTATACCTAAAAGTTGTTTTGATTAAATTTCAAATATAAACTCTAATACTCACATTAGTTCAATAAGTTAAATTGAATAAAACACTACTAATTTATTAATAAAATCCACTTTTAAGATTCCTTTAATAGAATGTTTGATTCCAAAAGTTTATTTAACTAAATCTATAGAAGATAATACAATAACAACTATTTTATCAGATGATTAAGTTAAATTAAATGAGAATGATAACTCAATTTTAGAATATTATTTGATTCCAGAATAATTTTAGAAATGCTATCACTTTGAAACTTAATAGGCAATAGTGTATTAATGTTTTATTGGAGTTGCTATTACAGTAAATAAAAAACCTTAATACTTATTGATGTTGATTTCTCAAATAGAAGTCTAAAAATCAACATAAACATATACAAATTCTATTTAGATATTTGAGATGCCAACATCAGATACTGAATCTACAATAGTTGGACCCATTATTATTTTTAGTGATGCTTCAAATTCCATCATTGATACAAAGAATAATCTCATAAAAACTACTTAAAATATTTTAGATCCAAATTATCAAGATTATTAAATAACTTTTTTAAATGGAACAATTACTTAAAATTTAACAATTATACCTTTATAATTAGAAGATGAAAAATAAAATGGATCAATAAAAGAACTAATTCTATCCTATGATAATAATAATTTTAACGAAAATTAAAATTATTATATATCTATTAGTTCATCTTTAACATTAAATTAAACAAGAAGATTATTAGGACAAAGAAATATTATTCCAAAAATGTAAATACAAAATTCTTTTGATGGAACTAAAGTATCATAATCAACTTTGACTTTTAATGTAAATCAACAATCATCTCTTTAGGGAGGTTATTTGGCTTTAATTTTTATTGCTGTTATTCTATTTTCATTATTTTTTATAATTGCCACAATTGTACTAATAGAAAAAGTAGAAACTAAATACTTCAAAATAAAATAAAAAGAAGATAAATAAATTCCAACAGAACTATAATAAATTTGATTTTATTAAAAATTATAAAATATCATTATTTTCAATATAATTAATAAGTATACATGTATCATATATACAAATACATATAATATATATTAGTTTTGATTAATTAATTATGTCATTAATATAAATAAGAGTATAAATTTTAAAATTAATAATAATTTTTTAATCATTACTAAATTCTTAATTATGATATATTAAAGAAATCTTGTATTTGAATAGGTATTATGATTTTATTTATAAAATATAGATTTAATATAATCAAGATATTAGTTTTAAATTTCATGAGTATTCTTAATAGATCTTCAGTAATGATTTAAATGATAATATATTTAATTAGGATATTTAATTTTTTTATATATACAAATTAGTATAATAGATATAAATAGTTTAATTAAGAATTATATAATATATGAATACAATTAGATTAAGATCTTTACTTATTATATAATATAATAGATGTATAGATTAATAAATGAGATCATTAGGTTAAGAAATTAAAATTAAAATATGCATTAAGAATTTATTAAAAGAGAAGTGATAATAAACTTATAAATAGTTCTAATATATTTTTAATTTATTTCCATGTTTTTGGCTATAAATGGTTCTGCTTTTCCAATAAGGAATGAATTCAGATTACCAAAACTACGAGGTTAAAAAGGTAGATAACAAATTATTATATTTAATCAAGGTCTTCGATAATCGAAGTCTCGGTTGCAAGAGTAACCTGATTCTCCAGATAAATCAAGTAAATGTTTGACCAAGCCCTGTAGTCTACTAAAATATTAAGTTCCTGGTTCTATGATTTTGATTGCCAGATCTATGAAGTTTTCAAAAGACTAGTTCACTCACAGACAAAGAGAAAAACAGGAGATTATTCCTGAGATTTTAGATGGATACAAATATTCATTAGGGTAAGGAAATAATCATGAATTGGTACAAAGAATTATGGATGCAAGAACTGAATGGCATCTATGTAAAGAAAGTAATTCAATGAGTATAAATTTCAGATGGCAACAAACAAATAGAGGATATAAATATGATA